ACATTGTTACTGAGACAGTATTAATTCTCTCCAAAACAATGCAGGCTCTTGGCAGGGGTATTTCTGTGCTGGTGCTTCCAATAAGAAATGGAGTGGGAGTCCATGCTCTTCACAGTTCAACTTCTCTTACCTCTCTTAGCTTTGTTGTTGCCAATTTTTTGCATTAAGTTTAGCCTTAAAAGGTAAAGGGACCCCTGACCGTTAGGTCCAGCCGCGGACGACTCTGGGGTTGTGGCGCTCATCTCACTTTATTGGCCAAGGGAGCCGGCGTACAGCTTCCGGGTCGTGTGGCCAGCATGAGTAAGCCGCTTCTGGCGAACCAGAGCAGCGCACGAAAACGCTGTTTACCTTCCCGCTGGAGCGGTACCTATTTATCTACTTGCACTTTGTGCTTTTGAACCACTAGATGGGCAGGAGCTGGGACCGAGCAACGGGAGCTCACTCGGTCGCGGGGATTCGAACCACCGACCTGATCGGCAAGCCCAAGAGGCTCAGTGGTTTAGGCCACAGCGCCACCCATGTTTAAGTAAGTTTAGCCTTACTTAAGCATTAATCCATTCTCAGAAGCCAGGCTTTCCAAGCTGAGCACTAAGAGAAAAACCACTGATAATTTCCTATAACTCTATAATTGAAATCTTGAGTTACTTATCAGTCGTGAACGCCCTGTGGAACACCCTCCCTTCAGATGTCAAGGAAATAAACGACCACCTGTCTTTTAGAAGACACCTGAAGTTTAGGGAGGTTTTAAAGGATTGATGTTTTTATTATGTTTTTAGATAATGTTGTAAGCTGCCCAGAGTGGGTAAACCCAGCCAGATGGGTGTGGTATAAATAATAAAATTATTATTATTATTATTATTATTATTATTACTCGCTCCATTGTCTTTTTTCAGAGGAACATGCTCCTGGTTTCTTCTTTTGATTTTTGCAGGTCAGCTACAAGATGTCAATTTGCTCCACCTTCTTAAGCAACAGGGATCTTGGACAATTCCTCCTCAAACTCACCTGCCTTATCTTTACCAAACAATAGCTTATTCCCTTAAATTTCATTCTCTGCAGTGGCTCAAAGAGGGTTGTACTACATGCTAGTTCACCAGCCCCATGGCTTTGCTCCAGGGGTCCTGTTGCCTGCCAGCTCCAGCTGCCAGCAAGGAAGGACTTGGCTCAGGCCCCATCAGCGCCAAACAGGGAAAGCTTCCCCCACAGACTGCTGGGAAGTGTAGTTTGCTAAGGGGGCTGAGAAGTGTTAAGATACAGAGCTACGATTCCCAGAGATGTTTCCCAGGAAACATTGGGAACAACTCTTTGTAGCTGTTAAAGAGCCTCATGATGGAAGCACTGCCTTCTCTGCAGTATTTCTGTAAGTGTGCCAGCTTCCATTCTGACATGCCTTAAGCCTTCAGATGGGTCTTTCCTCCTCAGCAATAACTAGTGGGCGGTCTTTTCCCGTCACCACATCTTAGACATGCACTTCCTGTTGCTTTCCTCTGGAAGCATTTCAGTTGATGAATAGCAAACTTGTCCCGTCACCAAGGCGGCAGACAAGCAAAAAGAAGCTAATGAAGAACATTCAGCTCACAGGATATTTCTATGCGTATCCTGTGCTGAGTAATTCCAGATGGGGGATAAGCCGTTATCTAGGCTGTTTGCTGTGGAGGATATCCTATTTGTTCCTCACTGCTGAGAGATAGTGGCTGCTTGTGGTCACTTTCTGTTGTTTGCTGACATCCTGAGGCAGTGAATCATGCCTGGCTTCTGGCAGGAGGGGACACACTATGCACCTTCCCTCCCCATCTGGGCTCCTCGGAGAATGTTCCGGATGGCCAGCTTTTGGCTGAGAGGCTGACCCTGGCAGCCAGGCCGATGAACGCAGCATGAGTAACAGCTGTATTAGGATATTCATTGTTTATGGCATTAGGCGTGTGGGTTATAAGCAAGAAGAATAACTGCATCAAAGGGATTGCACATCTGGACCCTAGTGATGTCATCTGGCGGCTGCTGCTGGGGGGGGCTCGCCCTCCTCACCGCCCCCTGCTTGGGCATTCGTTCAATCTGCTCGTTTCCTCTAACCGTATTCCTCGGAGGAAGACTTGTTTCACCTGCTGCCTAAGCCTGTCCTCCTCCTTCCTCCATGCCTTTCCTTCCTCTCAGGATCGCTTCACGCAGACTTGTATTGGAAAAGAACTGCAGGCATCCCAATGTGCTAATAGCAGTATGGCTCTTATTCTGGCAAGCTTCTTTTATGTAGCTGTTTTTTCCTGGCTTCTGTCCTGTCTCTCATCCATCTAAGATAAGATTATTTTCTTCGCACAGCACTGGAATGGTTTATTCCGCTATATTGTTATAGATCAGTGGTTCCCAATTAGTTAATTACTGAGGACCCCCTATTTTTCAAAAGCCAAGCCATTAACCCCCTACTTTTGAAAATTTTGATAGCTGTATGGTAGTAACTGTATGCTAGCTGTATGGTAGTATGGTGCAAAGCAATTTTTTGAACAAAATGTGGGGTAGCCCCTAATAAGCAAAAGATTTTAGGTATACTAAAAAAGCAGACTAGGGCCGAGTGATATCTGGTTTTGAACATCATGATATATCAGCAGCTAAACGTTGTGATATTCCGATATATCACTATGTTTGAAATTGGAGATCAGGAGTGGGGATGAGGGCAGTGTTAGAAACTGAGATATGAAAGCTAAATGGCACCTTAAACCTGGACTATGGATGCCACAATGGAGTGTCTAGGCGTGCTTTTTTATAACAAGAATACAAAACTGAAAATGAATGAACTGCTGCTAAAATCTTATGTGCATTTTTCACCTGGTCTAGTCTTCATCTGAAGACTGCAAAAAACAAAGCCATACATCCCCTGCCTGCTCCCCCAATATTCTTAGGAGGGTCCCTTCTCCAATCTTCAGAGAGTGGCTGGAAGTGGGGAGGCAGAAAAAGGTCCTCCTTTCCTTCCATTCTGCAGTTTTAATCTGAAATCTTAGGCACAGTACTGCGCCCAGAGCTCAGAAACCGCTCTCTTTAATGAAATTCCCTGTCACAAAATGTGCCTAGAATAATGGGAGTTTCAAACGCCTGATGAGGGAAGGAGCAGTCACAAAGATTGGATGGGTGGGGGGAGGAGAGGAAGCAGAGTCACCTTCACCCCATGGATTGAGTGGGAGGGGATGGAAACGGGGGGGGGGTGCATCAAGCCGTTGTCAGCGGGGCAGCCAGCAAAGATTTACGTCAGGGTACCTTGAAGTAAGGGCGATCAGCTGGCCTGTTCTCCCACAGCGTGAGGGAAGGCAGCTCAGATCAACAGCATTATCAGCTGAGATCTTTGTGCGATGTCAGCGGTGCCTTGAAATCAGCTGCCCTGCTCTCCCTTGCGCAAGGAACAATATATTGCTGCCTGTTGCCAGGTCAAAATCATTCTCATGGTGTGATTTCAAAACCAATTTTGGCCAATATATTGAAGAATTGCACAGCACTAAAACAGACAATAAAACTTGTGATATTACCATGAAAAAAGGACAAAAAATAGTTCAGAGGAGGCAAGGAATGGGGCTACGGACCCCCTGGGTGCGTTCTGTGGACCTCTAATTGGGAACCACTGATCTAGATAGTGATGGAAGTGGTTGTTGTCTTGGTGCTATTTGATATGATCAGCAGCATCAGGCAGTAAAACATCTCTTGGATTTTATCCTTCAGATTTCACATTTAACTATTCTAATTTAAAAACGGCAGACTGGCATAAGCGAGAGGAGTTACAGGATGGAATGCTTTCATACAGATATACTCCCAGGGGCCAGAAAACAAGGGTATCAAGAAGCAAGGTTCAACCTGACATTGCTCTGCGGTGCTAGTTTTCTATATGCGGGGAGTATGGTTTTTAAATAAGGGAATAAGCAAACACGCAATCTCTCACCTGCAACCTGAAGTGTAAAACTTTGCTCTGTACTTCAGTCTCAAGCTGGAACATACTTTTGGACTGGAGGTTTGATGCGATAGTGGTATTCGCGTACTCATGCAAAAAGTTCCACTAACCAGGTTAGAGAATTTGGTTGATGTCAAATGGGAATTCCCACAAGGAATCTCCCTTTTCAGGAAGCTCTAAAAGGAAGTTCCTCTAAAGATTTAGTCATAATGAGGAAACAAGCACCTTTTGGATGTGGAAGATGAAGGACACAGAGGTTACACAAATTGTAATAGGAGAACTACAAGAGGATGGCACTTCTGGCTGACACAGGAAGACCCTGACAACTTGGAGGTGGAGGTCTCAACAGGGAGGCAGTCTCATGCAAGTGGCTTTTCCTTGCTGCAAGCTGGCCGATTGTTGCAACCAGAACCTTGCTGTGTCAAAAGGCTTGATGAGAGTGGAATCATAGACCCCTGGAACTATAGAGGTGGAAGGGTCATCTAGTCCAGTCCCCCTGCAATGCAAGAATCTCAACTAAAGCCTCCATGACAGAAGGCCATCCAACAGTTTAGTTGCTTGCACAGGAATTTCTCGTTTCATGGCAGATGGATGCCACGTAATCAGCAGAGTTACTGGAGCCCGCATGCATTTCCGAGCAGCAGACGCAGTGGCTGCCACGACTATGACCCAGACCATGTCTGTGGATGAAGGTATCTGTGAGCAGCCAGGTGGTGAGGTGGTTATGCGAGACACCATAGGGGAGCACCCTGAAGGGGCACCAAGTCAGCAGCGAAACAGAGCCAGGAAATGTGCTAGTGTTCTTTTGAGAGATGCTCATGCCTGGGATTGTCTCTCAGCTTCACAAACGTCTACTGTAGATGGGAATGTTAAGAATGACATGATCTTAACAACTCATGTTTGTTGGAATGTATTTAAATATCATATGCGCTTCAGATGCATAGCCTCCTCCTGTTAGTATAAGCTTAAGAATGTGTTGTGAACAAACACAAGTCCTTTTTGAAAAAGTCCACAGGCACCAGCTTCATTGCTCTACCATGTCAGCTGCCCTCATGCTATCATTCTTTATTGACAGGTTCCCAAGAGTCAGATAGCTCTCAGTCTGCCAAGAAAGACATGCTGGTTGCCTTGAAGTCCAGGCAAGAAGCTCTGGAGGAGACCCTGCGCCAGCGCCTGGAAGAGCTAAAGAAGCTCTGTCTCCGAGAAGCGGTAGGCCGTGTAGATTTCTATAATCCTTGGAAACCCCTTTGTTGCTTCTGATGTGCAGCAAAGCATAGAGTGTGTGGAAGGGGTGGCATCTTACAAAGTCTCGGCTTTGCAAAGCGGAAGGCATTGTAATCCCTTAAACACCCACAGTTCTCACGGAAGTCGGTAAAAGATCCAAATGTTTAGCAGAAATTCACCTTCCTTCGACATTTCAATTTTTACAAATGTGTTGTGAGTATTGCAAGTGGAAAACAAAATGAAATTTCATATCTCAATTTTGCAATTTCCAATGTGGGCAATTTGGCAAATGCAGGGCTTAGGCAAAATTTCATTTCAATAATTTGTCCCTAACATGGCCCAACTTGTTTCTCCTATAAATCACAGCTCCTTTCCAACAGTTCTATCCTGATTTGATAGTTTGGATTTAGTTACACATTACAGGACAGCATTCATCTTTTGTGATTTCCCACCCATTGCCAGTTTCCGTAACAGATTAACTATTCAGAGCATGTGGATAATTGCCATGCTCAAGTGTCCTGTGAACATTGCTGTTTCCCTTCACAAGTACATGCGTTAAGTGTTACAGGCTTCAAATTTCTGTTCACATGGGTATCATAAGATGCCCTGAGAATTAACACTAAGGGGTATGATATTAGATTTCCACGAGTAGAGAGCCTTTAAGTTTAACATTTATCTTGCAACCATGAAAGTAGAGAACCAATGTTTGGGACCATGATTATTTGAGAGTAAATAGATACAAATGGGACCTACAAAAAACGTAGATGGTCCTGATCAAGATGACAGCATTTGAGATTTGGCAGGCCCTAGGCTCATTTGCCCCTGGCGACCAAGTGAAGACGCTAGAAGGTGCCTGACGTCTCCACCTGCCTGGAGATCATTGGATGTTGTCTGTTTTCACACACTAGAACCACATCCTGTAGAATTCCATCCATTATATTTTATCTGCACAGTCAGAATGAATTTCAGGAACCAAAAAGCCGTGTTGAAAAATACAACTTTCGAGCTGTCTGGCCCAAAAATGCCAACTAGGCATTCTGTTTTGGAGACTTGTAACCCTGGTTTAAGGAGCCATTTGGTGCCTAGCTTAAGTCTGCTCCAGGAGTCAAGTCAGCAGACATGTGGAAAGCAGCTTGGCTTTAATTTTGTATTCCTATTTCCGATTCACTTCTTTAAAATATTATGTATTCAGGTAATCCAAACTTAGCTTCAAAATGGACTGAATTCTGTGACTTACATGAATTATGCAGATATATGCAACTTGTATATCGCCTGTATTTTGCATTATTTGTTTTTGTTTTGGTAATCATGGGGAAGAGCAAGGAGCTATGCAAAAACTCCTTCCTAATCACTAGAAATCTTGTTCAACTATTTTCTGAGATTTCACCACTCATTCCGTATACGCTGTAAAGTACCTTTGCAGCCATGAGATCTAGAAACTTACCCTTTTCAACTGGAAGCTGCTATTCTTTGGAAGCTGAACTGTGCATCCAGCACAGTGCTCTGGCCTTTTTCTGCACTTCTGTAAAATTTAGCATTCTAGTCATTTCTCAAAACTCTTACCTAACCCCGCAAAAGGTCAAGTAACTGGAAAACACTTTTCAATGAAGAGCGTAAGGGAAAATAGCTGAGCTGCTGAAACTTATTTGATCGTTTCTGTTTCGCGTAAGAAGCAAAACTTGACTTTGGTAGTTTGCCTACGTGAGTAAGGTTTATGAGGTCAGGTTAGGCCCCACATGTCCGTGCCTAAAAGGTTTTGCTCAAATCATCTGTATAACGTTTAAGCCAATTCAATCATCACCCTCCAGTTTTATTCTAAATTTCTCTCTCCAGGCTCCCATGAATCACAGTTTGTTTATTTTCCTTTGGGAATTGCTGTCATATAATGAGACTGGTAGACTGAGAGAAGGAAATGAATTGAAACCCTTGGGGGTAGCCAAACTAAGTTTGCCCCTAACCATTTGCAACAGTGGCATCAAATTTCTGCAGGCTTTGGTTACTTATTAGTTCATCTTAAATGACAGGAGCCAGGCTGCTAATGCGCTTTTTGTTTCATGGGGCAGTTTTAGTAGCCCAGTTTGCTGTCCTTTCTTTAAAAAACAGCAGACTTGTTGGAAGTCTTGCATACCTAAATTGTTTGGCTTCTTTTTTTTTTTAAACTGGAGGCTGTCCAATTTGAAAGAGGGTTCAAGCTTTGAAAGTATTTGGTTGTTTGGTTGATTGTTTGGTATGTGCACACAGACACAACTGGTGCTGATCTACGTTCATCTTTTGCTTTAGGAAATGTATCTTAACAGTGATTTTATGACAACTTAAGATTCATGGCTGATGTTTTTTAAAAACATATTCAAAATAGCAGTTACACTGAGATACTCTAATATTTCTCTCAATCTGATAGGTTATTATTTGGTTATAAGCAAGACACGAGAGCAAAGAAGTTTGTTTGAAACTCCCAAATCATTATATTGATGTTTCTTCATAGACACAGCCATTTTATCAATGCTGGGATTACTAGCCCTTTGGGTCCACCGCACAACTGCAAACTGGAAAAACGGTTCTGGGCATCACACTCACTGCAACCTGTTCTGTTGGCTACAGCAGAAGGCTTCTTTTAAGCCAAATTTCAACAGGTGAAGAGGAAGCCTTTTGGAGGCATGTGTGTTTGTGGACATGACGTTGGTGACCCCTGTAGCACAGCTCTGTATGCTTGCATATATGAAACTATGCCAGAGATGTAGCTATTGGTAATATCTCTTATTCCAAGCCCTGACATTCTAGATACTCCTTATTAGTAGAGCTGTTACCTAAATAAATAAGTTTGTGAATTTTAATTCACAAATAAATGTGAATTTTAACTGATAAAATTTTCATTTGAATAACAGTAGTTCTGAAGAAATTATTTGTTTTTAAAATATGAGCAGTCCCATTATTACCTTTAAAAAATAACACAATGCAACTGTTCTTTTTGCAAATGGGATTTCATATAAAATGTTTTGCATCACATTTGTAGAGTCCATATTGCTTTTGGGGCTGATGCCTTTTCCAGTTGGTGTGAATACTTCAGGCTGCTTTCCTAAAGAGCAAGAACGTGGGGAGAGGGAATGAGGGGAGCAGCAGAGCTAGAGAAGCCTGTAGCTGATCCTAACATCACAATGATGACAGAGTGACACTTCCACCCAGTGCCCGGGGGGGGGGCTAGCCAGGTTTTTTGCCCCGGGTGAAGCCTCCAGAGGCACCATTGAGGCTCCCTGCCTGTGTGTACGCAAATGCGCCTGAAGGGGTTGCCAAACTGGGTCTTTGACCCGGGTGAAATAAAGCCTAGTTTTGCCCCTGCTGTCACTTGACTTGGCAGCGCCAGGTATCACACTGCAGAGCCAGGAAGCGCCATCTTGAAAGAGGCACAAGGTGGAGCGGCTTTTCTAAGATTATGCCTTTTGCATTCGGTTTTGTAAGGACTTGTATTTTTTCGGGGTGGGGGGATTTAAAAAAAATCTGTGCTGATTTATAATTGGAGGCAGGTTTTATTTGTATTTTATTTATTTAAACAATGTATATACTGTTTAACAGCATAGTCTCTAAGCAGTGCATATAGGGTTAAAAAGATACAATAAATACGTTAAAGCTCACCATATTTAATCAAACATTTGAATTGATTGTGCATCAGCTTCTAGAGGCTGGGCTGGGCTGACGTGTAAAGCTGCCCTTAGAAAGTGGACATAGACAATTCAAGGCCTCCCAGCAGCTCATTGTGTGCTTAAGCAAAGCATCAAAAGAACCAGGCTCTCCTTTCTCAGCGACCTGGAAAAAGGAGAAAAGCTCCACTGAGAATCAGGGTCGGGGCAGCAAGCAGGAGCTTGTCTGGAGCTTCACTTGCCTGGATAGTTTTTGCAGAAGGCTGGGGATTTTGGACTCTCGCAATGCTAGTGTTGCAGCTAGTGCACAACATTATCCCTCCTTAGCACAGAGCCTTTTCCCTGCTCCAGGGCCAACATCTCTCTCTTTACACAACTCCGTGCCTTTGCTCTTCACACTGCAAACAAGCAACCATGTTTGTGCTAAAGGTAATGCCAATTACCTTTTTTAAAAAGTTGTTAAATGTGAAGGATCCACCTTGTTATTTTAGACTCATCTGTCCAAATGACTCTTTCATTCCACCATGGAATAATTTGGTAGTGGATCAAAACTGCCAATAAATAAATAAAAATCATCACATGAAACTTGACAAAATGATATTCAGCAGGTAAATATGATGCAGCTATTGTTTTACTGCCACTACTTCTATTACTACAAAATGTTTGCTTAGAGCAGGGGTGAGGGGCCAGATTATTATCTCCCCCTACCCCCTGTGGGCCAAGTTTGGCAGGTGGGTAGCTCCACCCACCTGTCAATCACCTGATGTCACAATCATGTCACAGTCACCTGATGGAACCTGTTCAGGCTTGCAGAGTTTGAAATCGAATGGTGCAGGGAAAGGCACAGCCTGCAAAGTGCCAACAAACAGCCGAATGCTGTGAAACTAATCGTTGGAGCTTGTGAAACCAGGCGTCCAGTGCTCTGCCAGTCCAGCAGTTTAAACTCCCTGGCGTCATAGAAACTGCACAGATTATGACCAATATAGTGAAATCGGTGTCCGTCTTGCTTTACAACAATCTCCTGCCCAAGGAATGTTTGCTCTTAATTTAAACAGAAGATCGTGTGACATAAGAAAGAGAGATGAGGCACAGGGCACGAAGGGTGAAAGTCAATGCAATTATGCACTCTTGGGCTTTGTTTGAATTGAGGGTGATGACTAAGAAGTTAAGCCACAGAAGAGAGAGGTTTTGAACAGGGAATTGACAGAAGAGAGGTGAGACTTTGTAGGAGTTCTGTATAGGGAGTTCCAAGACAGCAACATGGCTTCTTCAATGAAGTAATCTCAGAAAGCTTGACAGATTATTAACCAAAAGTAACTTTTACTTTCCAGTTTCACATTCTCTTCTGGTCACAGATGACAAAGCATGTGGCTCAACTACCATTCTTAAGAGGATCTTTCACAAAACAGAAGTTCTAAGTGAATAAACACACCCAGAAAGAATCAACTGTGTGTCCTTCAACCAGAAAAAAAATGCAATATTGGTTATTTAAAGACAATATTTGTGAAATGCTATTGCGCGTCTAGATAAAATCCACTTGCTGCATGTGCACAACACACAGCTAATCTCTGATGTTTTATATACATTTGCAGGAGCTTACAGGAAAATTGCCAAGAGAATATCCCCTTGACCCAGGGGAAGAGCCCCCAATTGTGCGTAGAAGAATAGGTACTTCCTTTAAACTGGATGAACAGAAAATACTGCCAAAAGGAGAGGTGAGGGTTGCTTTCAGATTCAGACTTTCTGTTTCTCTTTTGCACTATTAAATTAAAACACCAGCGTTCAGCCTGTGCCAGGGTCTGGAAAGACTTGAGTAAATCACTTACTGGAATTATCCTCCCTTTGTGCTCTTTAAATTTGATACTAACTTGTCGAATAGAATTTGTGGTCTTTTTATTATGGGGCATTCCTGATTATTTTGTTGTCTTGATATTCCTAGGGCACATTATGACTGTGAAAGATTATGAATTGCTTGCTTTTTGGATAGTGACATTTGGAGCAATAGCTCTTTTTCATGTTTGGGCTGATGTGTGGCAATTTAATGATTTGCACAGTCCTATCCACATTTAATGGAACGTGGGTATCGCTGTGGTCTAAACCATAGAGCCTAGGGCTTGCCAGTCGGAAGGTCAGCAGTTCGAATCCCCACAATGGGGTGAGCTCCCGTTGCTCAGTCCCTGCTCCTGCCCACCTAGCAGTTCGAAAGCATGTCAAAATGCAAGTAGATAAATAGGTACCACTCCGGCAGAAAGGTAAATGGTGTTTCCGTGCGCTGCTCTGGTTCGCCAGAAGTGGCTTAGTCATGCTGGCCACATGACCCGGAAGCTGTACGCCGGCTCCCTCGGCCAATAAAGCGAGATGAGCGCTGCAACCCCAGAGTCGTCCGCGACTGTACCTAACGGTCAGGAGTCCCTTTACCTTTATCCACATTTAACCCTAATTTGACTTATGGAACAGACAGAACCACCTTTTTGATAGGGGTGGGAGCAATGTTTCACATGAACACAGCAACTTGGGTCTCCCTGGTCAAAGCCCAACTGTCTGTCCACCACACTAATTAGCATATAAATGAAGAGAAAGTACTTGTCTTGACTAGTGACTTGGAAAGGCCCTGCATTCTGTTGAAACAGGATGTTCCTATCGTGTGCCAAGAGGAATTTTCCAGTGAATGACACTGGTTAGACATGCTCTTTACATAGAAAATAACTCAGATAATGGTACGTTGTAGTGACTTGTTTAGTCTTCATTAGGAGAGACTTCATTCAGAGTTAATTTACTACAGCAGAACAGTGATTCGTGTTAATGAACTTTTCCTCAATAGTATGAGGCAGACACTTTGGCACAACTGGTTTAAATAGTTTCAGGCTGGTTTTATTGTCATGGCTGTCTCCGAAGAAGCTGCCACAGGGAGTAAAGCAGAGCCACTGGGCATGTGCTTCTGCTGCTCCCCCACTGAAACCCTGGGAGTTAGAGTTTTGGGAACATTCTGAGACCCTAGTGTCAGAATATATTTTTTAGTGTTCCTACATTCAGCTAAGCATTTTTTAAAAGTTAGGTGTGAATAACCAGGCATTTCCCAGCATGGTGAGCTGTGCTTTTTGCTTTCCTAACTGGGGCATGGAAAGGAAGGTTGTATCTAGGGAGGCACCAATCCATCTAGTGTCATTTTCATATGTGTTTATTCAGAAGTCTGCTCTGTCCATGAAATCCACACGAAAATTCAGAAACATCCATTTTCAAACACATTTGGGTATGTTTTTTGAGCCAAGAATTGCACCACTAAATTAAATGAAGTGTGAAATCTGAAGGATTACTGAGTTCTGGTCCAGAAGGTGAGTGTCAGGTCAGTTTGTATCAGAATTTGCAAAGAATGAGCACCTCAAATATCTATAATTGTGCCTCATGCCTTTTGATTGTAAGGACCACTCGTTACATGTTTAGGTGTATTCCTAGGTAATTTTAAATGTTCCGTGCGAAACTGTAAAGTAATACTATGACAAATGCATGTTGGTAAACACATGTACCATCTGGGTATACTTGTCAAGAATCATGACTGGCTGCCAATCCTGCTGTATGCACAGCCAGCAGCAAAGTGAGCTGCTACTTTCCCTCTTCTTAATGTGGTAGCAGCCCTAGCAGGTGATCCACATGGGAAAGTGGCAGGCTTGGTCGATGAGACTGGGCCATTGAAAAACCATACATCAAATGAATTCAGTTTTAACAGTGCCTTTCATCTGCTGCCTTCACTGGCTGTTGTGGGAGATTTTCTGTAGTGAGGCGGCAGATCAGGATCTGAGTCTTAAAATATATTGTGTTGAATACACATTTAATAAATTCAGTGTTGACAGAGCTTATGAAAGCTTCAAAGCAAAAACTCTTTCTAAAAAAACCCACACATACACAACAGCCATTCAGTCTGTAGCATTGTGAGAACTGTAGCTATGGATTTAAAGTAGTGGTGATTCATCACTGACAGCAAAGGAGATTTTTAAGCCAAGATGTCCAGAATGAATACTTCAGAGAGACATATTGTCTTGAAGAGAGATTAGTTCACAGCAGTGTGGCTTCTTCGGTGACTGTGGCACTGATTGACAGAGATAGACGATCTCTCTCCTTAGAGCATATGATAGCTAGTTCCCAGGATGGGGGATGTGGTCCAAAACATCTGGAGGGCACAAGTTGAGGAAGGCTGCTTTAGAACTAGAACCCAGGACAGGGTTATGTTGGCAGGAACAGGCTTGGTTCTTAACCGTTAGGGCTGCCAGGGGCAGGTATACCCTCCTCCTCAAAATACACACTTTTAATTTATCCAGTAAAAGTGAAAATTCACCATTGGAGGAAAAGGTGAGATGCTGCTCTTGGGACCCAGTTGCAGCAAGGGCAATACTGTTCCCACACTGTGTGGCCCAGCCCTCCTTGTCCCAGGTGCCAGAGAGCACACATACTCTGCACTCAGGGGGAGCTGTGCAATAAACAAGACTTTCATAGACCATCTGCTGACATAATGAGTATTTTGCTAGCTGCAATTTATATTTCTTTCAAAGATTCATGCCATGCCTCTTGCTTTCTGAATGAACCCCAGAGTTGCTTACAACAGGTTATGCCATTCAGTGCAAAGCGTATGCAACTGAACACAAAACTATTAGCTTAATCTCTGTGGTGCAACAACCACGGGAGATGCTGGGGGAATGTCATCTTAAAGGCCCCCTTCCCAGCTCTCTGGTGTTTCTACTGGAGCCGTCCTTTGTGGACCTAAGACAAGCCTGAGGAAAAGAGCCTCCCCAAAGTGTAGATGCCACCATCTCTCAGGGGTGAGGTTTTTCCTTGCCTGGGCCAAACAGAGTGTGGTGCTTGGCTCACTGTTTGCTGCTGAGAGAGATGGCGGAGGAACATGATGGTAAAGCTCCTCTCCTCAGCTCTCTGATGTCCCTGCTGCTGCTGCTGCTGCTGCTGCTGCTATATATATACAGGCCTCCAGTTAATACGAGGCAGTTTAGATTCTTCTGATGGAAACCTCATTAGTATAGCAAATAGAAAATAATAAAATAGACCACTAGATTCATTCTTCTGTGGGGAAGGGGCAAAAATGCTGCAGGAAGAAACTGAACTTTTGCAAAACATCGAAGGATTATCTATTGATGGTTTTAATTCCTAGCCTCTAACAGATGATATTTCCTCATTTAGTGCCTTCCTCCCAGCGCTCGGGGATAGAAACTTGTTTTTAAAAGACAGAGAGTCCTCTCCATGAGATTCCATGTTTGTGCGAGTACATGAAACACATGTATGATTTTACAGTGTAACTTGTCCTTCTGACTGGTCGTGAGTTGTTGTCAAATATTTACTGTGGTGTTCAGCACCGACACTAGCTCGCTCTCTGTGTGTTATTCATGTGAAGGTCAACTGTGTGTTCCCTGGGGAGCAAGGCCTACTCTGCATCTGCTTCCTAAAGTAACTGCACATTATGCACAATTGTCTGTAAGGCAACAGCAACCCACAAGATGTTGCTGATGTATGGGGGCTGTATGGATGGAATCAGGACTTCCAGGTGTGCAGGTGTCCTGATTGACCAGAGCCCCAACACATGCACAGGAACTTGCACATTGAGTTTTTCTTACAGAAAACCATGTGCATATGCTCCAAGAAAAAGTGCAGCTCACTTCTCAGTTAACACACAATTGTCTTACTACACAACTTTGAATTAGCAAATTCCATGGAACAAAGACCCAGGAATGTCAAGATTGTAATGCTGTGATTCCCAAGGTCCAATTTATACATTATCAGATTGGTGCAGCCATTTCTCTGTGGTTTGATTCTGCACCACTCTGGTAGAATTCTGTGAGGAACCATGTGAGTGGATGAAGGGGAATGCTCCTTACTATGTCAAATGGATGTCATTGTCATTGTTGTGTGTCCCCCCCCCCCAGTTCATTGTAGTGACAAGATAGGACGTTCATAACTACTTTTCATTACTTATTTGTGGTGTTGGCATCCATCTGTCCTGGGAGACAAAGGAGGAGTGTGCCTTTGGGGGTGAAGTCAACTGTTGGAAGGTTGCAGCGCCTGCTGTGGCTGTGAGACCAATATGGGAGAGACATGTTTTGTTGCAGGCGGGGCATCCAGTTGTGCTGCTGCAGATGCACCAGGGCGTTTCTCCTCTCTGTGCTCCTCCCAGCAGTCATTCCTCCTCTGCTCACTGCTATGGATGCACAATCTGACTGACTTATTTTGTGTAATACTACTAAAATCCACAAGACTGAGCAACATGAACTGAAGTTGTTTTAGTAGCGCCATTGTGGTATGTAACATAGAAGAAAGCTGTTGCTTTGTAAATCTTCCCAGTATACACCAGCCAAACTTGCCCGTGATCAGATGTACTGTTAGTAAGCTGCTACACTTTGCACCTACAGAAGCATAGGCAGCCTCATAGTCCTCTTGGCTGGTCTCTGTGGGAGCAGTGGTGGACCTGGAGGGCTTTTGGCCTGACCCAGCAAGGTTCTTCTTCTTCTGTTCTTACATGCTCCATGGCTAAGGCACTGACAGCCACAAGCCTCTTTCTTGTTGGACAGGAAGCTGAACTGGAACGCTTGGAGAGAGAATTTGCCATTCAGTCCCAAATCACGGAAGCTGCCCGACGCCTAGCCAGCGACCCAAATGTCAGCAAGAAGCTGAAAAAACAAAGGAAAACCTCATACCTGAATGCACTGAAGAAACTTCAGGAGATTGAAAATGCCATCAACGAGTACCGTATCAAATCTGGAAAGAAGCCAACACAAAGAGCCTCCTTGATCATAGATGGTAAACAGAACCCAAACTTCATGATACTCTGATCTTTCTTCCTGATGATCATTTGGGGGTGGGTGGGTTGCTCAGGAGAAGACAATGCTTCCCAAGGAGCTGATGAGGAAGTGGGTTTCTGGAAGGAGTATACAAATATTTCTTCCTAACCTCAACTTCCCATGAAACTTCAGCACTTTGATAGGTGAGCGCCAGGCAGACTGCTCTTCATGCCACACCTGGATCCTCAACTTCCATATCTGAAGTTGCGTCTTCAGACCCTTTCACAGACAAATTTCAGTTAATGGATACTGTTAAGAAATGTGTGAGCAGCTTAAAAGGAAAGTGATAAATGACATTGAAACGTAAGTGAGTATGCAGTGCTATGCACTTTGGGGCAGGGGCAAAGTCCCTACTTGACATCAGCCCTCTCCAGGCGTTCAGTCTGAATGCACGAGGGCTTAAAGCCGGGTAGGGGCAGGGGCATGCAAGCCCCCTCCATGCCCCCCATGCTGCACCACCTTCACTTCAGAGGCTTTCTAAGTGCATTTAGCTGAGCATGCTTAAGTACCATATTTACACAAACGTAATGTGCACCTTTTTTGTTCAAATTACATCATAAAAGTTAGGGTGTGCATTAGATTCACGTAAATACAGTGGTAATAAGTAATTGCATCCTCGCAATAAGTAATCCTGATGGGGCAGAATTCCAGATACGTCTTCTAAACTAAATGTACTTCATTAAAAGCCCCCTTCAGATCTTCCTCCTCAACACAAGAAAATTGAGATGGAATGACCACACCTACCATACTAGGTGTGCATGCCTCTGTTTCTCCTTACTTTTAGCCTTCATGTGCTCAAGCTAAACACTGCTTTGAGGCTAAAGTGTTAAACAGTGGGGAAATTGGTGAAATAAATAAATAAAAGGGCTAATGTTGGGCTCTGATCTAGCTGGTTCTTTCCAGGGAAGGGATTGGGGGGGGGTGAAAAGGGCAAATTTCACATTAGTGATTATACTCAGGTCCTGTTATACAAATGCTCATTATATGAAAATTCACTTATCCAAACACGAGGAATTGGTACCAGAACCTCGCTATATACACCTCAGATTCAGATATCCAAGCAGCTGTAGAGAAGCCTTACTTTTTTGTATTTTGCTGTCCACACCAGAAACCATGGTGGGAAGGAGGGAGAGAGATCAGACAAATAAGAGAGCATTTTTATTCCTTCCTTGTTTGCCTTCTGCCAGGTTTCAGGGGATTTTCTCATCATTTTAGGGTCAAAATTCTGTGGTTCAGACGCATTAGAAAATTTCCCATAGGAATCAAAGGAAATCATCAACTCATGATGTAAACACATTTTGTTCAGGTAGCGGGACCTGCATGTATTTAGAATGATCATAATGCCTTTATATCAGTCACTGGTGCAATCACACTTGGGATACTGTGTACTGTTTGTATCCCATCTTAAAAAGGATATAATAGAGCTGGAAAAGGTGTATAACAAGGAACCCAAAATTTCCCTTATGAAGACACACAACAGCAATTGGGACTTCTTAGCTAGGAAACAGCTGAATTCTGAAGTCATGAAAGTGGAGAGACAGCAAAATGTCTCCCTTACTCATAATGCTAGATTAACTCAGAACCACACAGAAAAATGGAAGGCATGGAATTAAAACATGGAATCAGCTGCTACAAGATGTGGCAATGGTCACTTTCTATAGCTTCTAAAAGGGTATTTAAAGGGGCAGATTCAGGGAAGATATGCTTCTTAAGGGCTGCATAGCAACAAAAGGGAACATTTCAAGGGCAGTATTCCTCTGAATATCAGTTGCTGCCAAACATGCAAGAGCTGATCCTTACCTGCTCTGCTTGTGAGGTCCATGGAAGCATATTAATGGGGGAAGCATGCTGGATCAGAAGAGCTGTTCTTATGGCCTGACATGAGTGGATTACTGCTGTGGAAATCATGCTGGGCTTCACCACACCATGGAGCTACACCGTAACCTCCGTATGTGTTTTCACCTGACAGATGGAAATATTGCCAGTGAGGACAGTTCACTCTCGGACGCTCTCGTTCTGGAGGATGGTATGTACAACATTCATTGCTATATGTTGTATTTTATGTCTCTGCTGAAAAAAAGAAGCTTGTGTTGTGTCAAAGGAGTTGGGGCAGAATCCTGTCGAAGCTCAACACTTCTCATTGGTTTTAGTGGGAGAAGTTTAAAGTACATCTATCTCTGCCTTAACATCAATGGGACTTAAATGTACTTGGCTTTGGCTGGATCATCGCCTAAGGTTGTAAGAACTCATATAGTAAGTAACTCATGTAGCAAGACTTCCAGGACACTCTCCTGTCTATATAATCTCCCTGGAGAATCCTGTACTACAGTGGTACCTCGCAAGACGAATGCCTCGCAAGACGGAAAACTCGCTAGACGAAAGGGTTTTTTGTTTTTTGAGCTGCTTCGCAAGACGATTTTCCCTATGGGCTTGCTTTGCAAGACGGAAACGTCTTGCAAGTTTGTTTCCTTTTTCTTAACACCGTTAATACAGTTGCGACTTGACTTCGAGGAGCAACTCATAGAACGTGGTGTGGTAGCCTTTTTTGAGGTTTTTAAAGACTTTGGTGATTTTTGAAGCTTTTCCAAAACTTTCCCGACACCGTGCTTCGCAAGATGAAAAAAATCGCAAGACGACAAAACTCGCGGAACGAATTAATTTCGTCTTGCGAGGCACCACTGTATATGTTTTTCTCTGAGCCTACCTCACTTAAAATTGTTTTTGTTTAAAGTAAAATTTCCAAGATAGTTTGGGATGATTTTATTTCGAGCAGTCACTACCCAAATATCCAAATAACCTTTTTCAACTGAAAAGTAGGCACAATTTCCTGCAACCAAATGTTCAAGCAGACGCCACACCCCTTGTAGAACGATATCATACTGTCACTTGTAGGTATTTTGCTGCAATGAAAAACATATCCATCATCATCATCATCATCATTTTAAATTTGTATACGGTCTTTCTATCTTACAATACTCAAGGTGGTTTACAAGCTGAAAAAACAAAAAATGTACATCTTATAACAATCTAATGCAATACAAAATGTGATAATAAAACATAACTTTAAAATAGGCAACCTACATCAAAAAAGTAACATTCAACAATCATTAGAATAGTATTAAATAATAATAATAACATATAAAAGTTAAACAGAAATCCACTCAACAGTTACAATAAATAATTTCTAAACTATAATCCATAAAACAATGGCAAGCCACGGTACATAAAATAATACAATACAAATTGAGAAGCCGAGACCAGAGGGTGGGACAAGGCAGGTGGACGGAGACCTTGCCTGGCGAAGGCTCTCCCTCACCTCTGAACTGAGGAGAAGAGAGGAGGGAGGTGGGTGGGCCCGCTTCAGTCTCAGAAGATGGTCCAAGCCAGCTGTGGTGGTGTAGAGCAGTGTTCCCCAACCTTGGGCCTCCAGCTGTTTTTGGACTACAACTCCCATCATCCCTAGCTAGCAAGACCAGTGGTCAGGGATGATGGGAATTGTAGTTCAAAAACAGCTGGAGGCCCAAGGTTGGGAAACACTGGTGTAGAGTATGGGGACGAACGCTTTCCATCTAGCAAGGCTGAAGACATCAGCAGCAAGAAGCAGGGTGTTCACTGCAACTGACCCAAAGCTTTGGCAGAACCTCCCAGGGTAGATCGGAATTAACCCTTCCCTCATTGTTTCTCAAAGGAGTTGCAAAACTCTTTTATTCTGACTGGCATTTGGAGATTGGCGATATGAAGAGCTGTCTTGAACTCATGTATTACTTGACTGTTGAATTTGCTGTCGTGCTTTACTGTTTTCTAGGCTTACATTTAATTGTGGTTTTAAATTGCTCTGTTGTATTTTTTATATAAGCTGCTTTGAGCACAGTAAAGTAGTATGGCATCTGTATTTTAGTTATGCATAGGATTTATACACATATACTTAAAAAAAGGCCTTAAAATGAACATACATTCTACCTCTTTACACCTGTATCAATCTTTTCAATTGTAAGCTCCTTGAAGCATGGACCTCTCATCTTCTAAAAGGCCATGCAAAAAGTATTTAAACAAAATAGTGTTCCTGTCCTTTAGTTTTCCTCTTTTTTCCCATTTCAGAAGACACTCAGGTTACCAGCACGATATCCCCTTTACAGTCCCCTCACAAAGGACTCCCTCCCCGTCCCCCGTTGCATAATAGACCAGCTCCTCCGCAGTCCCTGGAGGGACTCAGGCAGGTGCACTACCAGAAGAAGGACTATGACAAGTCCCCCCTCAAGCCCAAGATGTGGAGCGAGTCATCCTTGGATGAACCCTATGAGAAGGTCAAGAAGCGCTCTTCACACAGCCATTCCAGGTAAGTCATAATGGAGACAGACATTTCCTTATCATGCAGCACCCATTTATAAAGGGGGGGGGGACGACCAAGGCTTTGTAAGCAAATTTCATGGACATGCAGTGGGATACTTAGACTCACAGAACTGCAGAGTTGGAAGGGATCCCACATTCCCAGAAGTTTCTTCAGCAGTCCCAAAAGCCAAAGAGGTTAGTCACTGCAAAGTAGTACAGTTGTACCCTGGAAGTCGAACGGAATCCGTTCCAGAAGTCCATTCGACTTCCAAACTGTTCAGAAACCAAAGCACGGCTTCAATTGGAAGCTGCTGAACCCCCGCTGGATGTTCGGCTTCCAAAAATAGTTTGCAAACCAGAACAGTCACTTCCGGGTTTGTATCGTTTGGGAACCAAAACATTCGAGAACCAAGCTTTCGAAAACGAAGGTATAACTCTAGTCATTAATAAACTGCAGCTTGCTTCTTCAGCTGTGGAAGTAGCTCTGATGAAGACATCTGAGGAAACAGCACCTCGATGCAAAACATAAGTTGATTTGGCTAATGCCTCTGCATCTCCATGACAGAAGGTGCTTAATTCAAGGTGCTCATGCTAATGTTTAAAGCCATAAACAACCCCGGGCCCCAGATATCCGAAAGACTTGCCTACAGGTCCTCTTGGGTATTTACATTGGCGGAGGGGCCATCTTGGTTGTGGTGGCCCAAGAGAGGCCCTTCCCTATGTGCCAAATGCTCCTCCCAGGCCTGGAAAAGGGTTTAACCTCCGGTTTGCTAGTAAAACTGAATTGCTGTGCTGTGAGATGAGGCACGTTTCCAAAGTGTGTCAGCAACATGAAAAGTTTGGAAAGCTCTGCCCTAAGCTATGGAGCCCTCTTACTGCAGAGGTAAGTCTGGCATCTTCATTTTGCAGCTTTACCCTGGCTTTCGACACTTGAGGTGTGCATTTTTAGGACCCACCTTATTTCTGTGATTGCAAGTTGTTTTAAACTGTTTTTAATGCTGTGCTTTAATTGTTATAAGCCACCATGGGAGCTTAAGGTGAAGGGCAGGTAAATTAATAATAATAGTGGCTGCCACTCCCAAATAGCAAAACAAAAATATCACTCAATGGGGTCCTCTCTGTGTCTTCCAGCACTTCCTGTGCTTTATTTGGCACATTATTTGTGCCTTAGCTTATTGTTGTTAGAAAAAGGAGCGATGCAGAGTAATTTAGCAGAAAATTAGTGTAGTAATGTCTAAAAGCATGAAGAGTGAGCCCAGAATTCCCTTGAATGAATTGCACTTTTGCCAGCCTCTAGATGATGTCAGGCAACCCCCTCTCTCTCACTCCCCAGCTGTGAGAAGAGTCGCACTGGGCTGCTGAAATAGGACCTGTCAAGTCTGCTAAACTTAAGAAATGAGAATTGTCGACGTACCCAAAAACGCTTATGGTTTTCTCATAGGCCCATGTAATAAAGGAAACAAGCTGCATAAAGAAGGCTGCCCTGATCACTGTCTTTCCTTTTGTGTACAGCAGTCACAAGCGGCTTCCCAGCACTGGGAGCTGTGCAGAGGGTGGAGGGAGCAACTCCCTACAAAACAGCCCCATTAGGAATCTGCCCCATTGGAACTCCCAGTCCAGCATGCCAACAACACCAGATCTACGGGTACGCAGTCCACATTATGTGCATTCCACTAGGTAAGTTCTTCCAGCCCAATAGGTCCTCAGCTTCTCTTCTCCCACCCCCTACCAAATGTTAAATATGGAGCCTGGAATTCCTAAAGCCGGCTTAAATTTCATCAGGGTGCTCAAAAGTTGCTCTGAATTGGATTGTGCTCCCAGTCCTCAGTTCTGTTTCAGCTAAAACAAAGACTCTGGTATTTTGGGGAGGGATAGGAGCCTTTTAGCTAAATCAAGTTTGAAAAATAGATTAAAATTATGTTCTTGAAATCCCTTCACATCCCCAAAAGTTGCATACAGTATGCCTTCAACTTGCGTTCATTTAATTTGTGCACATTCAACTTTACATGCATAGCAATAAAGAAATAAAGAGGGAAATGACTTTAGCAATCCCATCCGCCATTGAAGCCAATGTTTTGATTAGAAGCAGTTTTGGCTTTTAAAAAAAATATATATTTAGTTTTTCAGTTTAGAATTTTACAATCAATTATCCAACAACCAACATAAAAACAAGATTCCAAAGGATCTCCTGAACTTCCCTCCTCCCCTTTGTGAGTCCTTTCCTTAACCATTTCCTCCTACATCTTTTATAATAATCGAAACCTTTTTCATTAAACTACAAGTGTTATTCCAATCCTACTGGTGATTTTAGCTGTTTCCAATGGTTTTTAAGATAAATTATCTATTTTCCCCATTCCTTATTTAAATTTTGGTCTTTCTGATTCTTCCGGTCATTTTTGCTATTTCGGTGATTTTGGTTTTAGGCACGATTCCCGGAACGTATCCCCCACATAAGTTGAACAGCTGTTTTACCTGGGTACAGGTGCTCTATATGTGTTCACTTGGAACTGGCAGTGGCCAAAGGTCAAAAAGAAATGTAGGACATAGCAGAAAAGTGTCACCACAGTTGTTTTCACATGATGCCATTTCGCAAGTTCTAGAAAACATTTGGTCATGGAATCCAGCCAAACAATGTTGGAAGCAATGTGATTATTTGCTTACAAAACCAAGGAAGCAGTATCTGGATGGGTGGTTTTGTGTATTTATTAGGCAATATCACATCTGCACTCAGCTGTGATGCTTCTTGGGTGACCTTGGGCCTGTCAGTATCTCTTATAGAATGTACAAGGGGAAGCATATGAGTGAGATATAAATGTAATACATAAATAAAATCTTATTAGGTAGGATTTTGACGGGTGTTCAGCATCAGATGCTTCAGGGCGTGTGGAATGGCAGACCTAAAGGGAACCTTATCCACTCATTAAATTTAGGTGGATGTGTTATTTTCCCTCTCCAAATGGGAGAATTCATAGAAATAGATGAGTTTTAAATTTATTGGCGCTTCCCATTTTGTCCAATATGGAGCTTTCACATCTCTCCGCCTTAGGGACTTACACTAACGGTTTCTCATTGGGAATTTGACTCATTTCTCCCTCCCCCCCCAGTAAAGGATGTGAAACCTCTACTTCAGAAGAGGAAGAAGTGCAAAAGATTCCCTGCCGTCACCATGTAGGAAGCTGTTAGCCTGGACTTCGAGAAGTGTCATTATTGGCTAGCTGTGATGCTTAATGCAGGCTTTCGCATACTTCCTGTATTCTGAATTCTGCCAGCTTATGGTGACCAGTGGCATCTTTACATTGTCAGGCCTAGACTCCACTGTATTTTCTTCAGATATTATGCAAACATACTACAGAGTTAACCATGACAATGTCTTTTTGTAAGCAAACTCTGCTATGGTGAACTGACCCCAAATTTGTGGTTAGATACAATTACAAAGAATAATTGATTTCAGAGATCCCACCTTCATTCTGCAGCTAAAAGGCTGGAGTCCCTATAGCTCAGGGTCAGGCAGCCTTTAATTGTTCTCTTTCTGTTAGCCTTCCTTTGCCACCACAAGTGTACTCATTCCACACCACAACTGTAGGCAAAACTACTGGAGCAGTTTATAATTACAACCTTATTTCTGTGCTTGCAGGTCTGTGGACATCAGCCCTACTAGGTTACATAGTTTAGCACAGCACTTTAGACACAGAAGCTCCAGTTTAGAGTCCCAAGGGAAGCTCGTTGGGTCAGAAAACGAGACGGGGAGCCCCGATTTCTACACCCCTCGGACTCGCAGCAGCAATGGCTCTGACCCAATGGACGACTGCTCCTCCTGCACCAGCCATTCCAGCTCTGAGCACTACTACCCTGCTCAGATGAATGCCAACTATTCCACCCTGGCTGAGGATTCCCCCTCCAAAGCCCGGGAACGGCAGAGGCAGAGGCACAAGTCGGCAGGGAACCTGGTCTCCTCCAATTCAGGGAGCATGCCCAACCTGGCTGCCAGGAACGGGACTGGCCACCACGGAGTCTATCTGCACAGCCAGAGCCAGCCGTCCTCTCAGTACAGGATCAAAGAGTACCCTCTCTACATCGAAGGGAGCTCCACGCCGGTGGTTGTACGCAGCCTGGAGAATGACCAGGAGGGACACTACAGCGTGAAGGCACAGTTTAAAACATCTAACTCCTACACGGCGGGGGGAATGTTTAAAGAGAACTGGCATGGGGAGGAAGCGGACTCCGTCAGGCTGACCCCCTCCCGTTCTCAGATCATCAGGACTCCGTCTTTGGGCAGAGAGGGTCACGAGAAGGGGTCGGGAAGGACAATGGTGTCAGATGAGCTGAGGCTGTGGTACCACCGGTCCACAGCTTCCCACAAAGACCATAGCCGCTTGTCGCACACTAGCTCCACTTCGTCGGACAGCAGCTCCCAGTACAGCACCTCCTCTCAAAGCACCTTCGTGGCGCACAGCAGGGTAACAAGGATGCCTCAGATGTGCAAAGCAACGTCAGGTGAGGAAGATGATTTGCACCCATAAACAAGAGTCATTCCTGGGGGTTCCACATGTACAACATAACCAAACCACCCCCACATCTCACTGCTCTGGTGGTGTGGCCTTCTGAGCAGCCCTAGGTCTGCATCCGTCACAATCAAATGACTCCTAACACAAAGACACAGCCAAATTACTCACAATCAGAGGAGGGTATTCATGGGTCTCTGCATGAGTCACTGTATTGAGCTTGTTGCTTTCTAAGCAGGAGCTAAACTTCAGTAACACAGGCAGAAACACGGACTCTCCTGAGGATGGGTAATTCTTGCGCTCTGAGACTCTAAACTTTTCAAGTGCAGGTGTAAAGTGTGTCATCAGTTGTAATTCAGGAGAAAAAGCATGGCCCCAGCAATCAGCAATTTGGTAAACACTGGCACAGTTATACAATATGTGCTTTTCACTATCCGTGAATGCCGATAGGGGGAGGAAGGGGCATGTTAGTCAAAGGTTTTAGCAATAAAGGTAGAAGTTCTGTTTGTTATTCGCTTGTCATGTGAAGCAGGGTGAATCAACAGAAGGACAGTCCAAATGAGTTCTTAAAAGGTGATGAAAAAAGTACACGACTGTTGTTACTGAAATCTAAAACTGCTGCAGCTGGTGTAACCAAAGGTGCAAGCTTATCCTCGTTGACCTGGGAGTAAGCCCCATAGAGCTTCTTTACGAGTAGTCATGGCTATGATACTCACCTGTTCAAAATCTTCTTTTGCCCTGACTCATTCACTGGTCTCAGCTGAGCTTTTCTCTCTCAGCTCCAGCCCTCCCACTCCTCACAATATGAAGGTATGTTGCATAGCTTAGTCAAAATACAGCATGTGAAACCCTTGGAGCACTCTAAAGCACTATATAAATGCTAAGTATTATTATTTAAAACTGAAGACAAATGGATTTCATTACCAAATTATGATGAGAATGCTCTTCTAATAAATTCTTCCTGAAGGAGCGTCTCCACTCCCATCGTTCTGCCCAGACACTGAGGTCCAGCTCCAAGGGCCTTCTGGCAGTTCCCTCGCTGCGAGAAGCCAAGTCACAGGGAACACAGGGTCTTCTTGGTAGTGGCACCCGCCCTGTGGAACGCCCTCCCACCAGATGCCAAAGAGAAAAACAACTACCAGACTTTTAGAAGACATCTGAAGGCAGCCCTGTTTAGGGAAGCTTTTAATTTTTGACAGACTATTGTATTTTAATATTTTGTTGGAAGCTGCCCAGAGTGGCTGGGGAAACCCGGCCAGATGGGTGGTGTGTGTGTGTGTGTGTGTGTGTGTGTGTGTGTGTGTGTGTGTGTATATATATATATTATTATTAGTTTCCATTCTTCAAATGAGCTCATAAACAATGAAATCCTGGCACCACACAACTTTTTAAAAATCAGCATAAAGGATGGCTTTTCTCCCAGTACAAGCAAAATCATGAAGAATGTTTGTTTATATTATATTAGGATTTACATCCACATTAGCTGTACTTGTAAAAGGCCACTTGCGTAGCTTTTATTTCTAGAATTGTTATTACTCAACAGGGCAAATTAAAAGTTAGAAGGGAGGCAAGGTAATTCCCCAAATTATTCAGAAGTTCTTTCCATGTTTTTACCAACTCACTCCAACCATTATACAATTTGGCAATCAAAATAAATCAGGAATTGAAACATTGGCTGGAATATAAGACATACCTGTAAATAAGCCACACCTTTAAAATTCAAGGCTTATTTGCGGGTGTGGCTCACCTCCCAGCTCACGGGGGGGGGGGCAGCCGGCACTCTCCCCAAGCTGGCACCAGGAGAGGCTTGGGAGACGCGAGCGGGTTGTCCCGTAATTGGGGGGGTGGCTTATATTTGGGCCAATACGGTACTTTCACAAGACTTGTTCACCAAGGACTTCAGCAAGTTATTTAATCTCTTGGTGAAATGGATAAAGTGTTAAAGTATTTTCAGAAATAAAATGTAAATGTTTTGCTTCTTTAATTAACTTAAGGCAGCTAAAATATGAAGTGTATGTTAAGAGTTTGCCCTGAAGGTACTGCTTTGGAAAACTTATTGTCTCTCAAGGTTCTGCAGTTGTTACTAACATCGCCAGCTGTGACCCTCCAGTGTCCAATGGGGTCCAGTGGCTGGTGCTCCGTGGGGCTGAGTTGCAATGGTAGCAGGAGCAAGACAGCTGGCCCTCAGCAGCAGAAGCAGCAGCAGCAATGTCATAGAATCATAGAATCATAGAGTTGGAAGAGACCACAAGGGCCATCGAGTCCAACCCCCTGCCAAGCAGGAAACACCATCAGAGCACTCCTGACATATGGTTGTCAAGCCTCTGCTTAAAGACCTCCAAAGAAGGAGACTCCACCACACTCCTTGGCAGCAAATTCCACTGTCGAACAGCTCTTACTGTCAGGAAGTTCTTCCTAATGTTTAGGTGGAATCTTCTTTCTTGTAGTTTGAATCCATTGCTCCGTGTACGCTTGTCTGGAGCAGCAGAAAACAACCTTTCTCCCTCCTCTATGTGACATCCTTTTATATATTTGAACATGGCTATCATATCACCCCTTAACCTCCTCTTCTCCAGGCTAAACATGCCCAGCTCCCTTAGCCGTTCCTCATAAGACATCGTTTCCAGGCCTTTGACCATTTTGGTTGCCCTCCTCTGGACACGTTCCAGTTTGTCAGTGTCCTTCTTGAATTGTGGTGCCCAGAACTGGACACAGTACTCCAGGTGAGGTCTGACCAGAACAGAATACAGTGGCACTCCTGTTGACATTTGAGATGGTCTCTCATCTCCCTGAGGTTGAAGGAAGACAAGGGATGCTGTCAGTCCTTGTAGTCACACACAGATAACTCCACGCAGACCTCCTTTTGAAACTGCATGAAGGGTGGGGGCTGGGGGGAGAGTGAGAAGGAGAGGCTGGATATGTTGTGGTAACCCATGGCATGGGCAGCTGTGCTGCAGAAATAATTAACTTGCACTTATGAGTTTATACCAAATAATATGCCATGTTTCATCTCCGTTCCACGAGTTACTACTGCACAGACGTAACAGCATCATTGCATTCCAGCCCCCCTACCTATATTTGTGTGTGTGTATCTATATCTATCTATCTCCATTTCTTTCCAGCTGCCTTACCGCACAGTCAGAGGAGCTCCACGCCATCTAGTGAGCTAGCGGCTACACCACCCAGCAGCCCACATCACATCCTGGCCTGGCAGACAGGGTGAGTATGGGCACAGATGGGCACTCGGTGGCAACGCTTTCCGTTTCTGACCCATCTTCCCTAGATGCTAGTCGGGCCACACATACAGCACAACCAGACGCATATCTACTCAGAAGTAAGTTCAGTGGGACTTACTCCCAGGTGAACGTGCCCAGGATCGGAGCTCTAGTGCAGGTCATTTGTTCTGTGTTCTACCCTGCTTGTCTTTATTACCCGTGCAGATGTCTTCATTTAATTGTAAAAGGGGAGGGGTGAGTCAACAAAAAGCTCCCAGTCAAATTCCCGTGGTCTGGACCTGTTTCCACAAGTTTCATTTTGTAGAAATCCACAGTGTGTGCACATTTGGAAGGAGTTCAGATTCAATCAAACACAGTGGAATTTAGCTTTTTGTTTTAAATGAATGTCAATATTTGAGGCAGCTGGCAAAGGCCATTCCAGAAACACCGTTGCAAATGCCCTCCTGGACCCCTTGCACTCTATACATGTCTGATGTTCCAAAGTGCTATTTCGGAGTTAGGTTAGCTGGCCATTTCCCACTGGACAGAACTTCTCTTCTCAGGAACAAAACCAATAGATAATATCCAATGTGGCAGAACACCAAACTTGGATGAGGGTTTGAAGCCCTGCTCAGCCAAGCCCATCACAAGTCGACGCTAAGCTGATCACCATCTCCTAGCCCAACCCGCCTCACAGAGATGTGATAAGGGCAAAATGGGATAAGGTGCATGTATGACACTCTGGAGCAAGGGGAGCCAACTCTGCGCCCCCTCCAGATATTTGTTGAACTACAACTCCCAACAAGAAGAATCCTGATTATTGTTTATGTTGGCTGGGGCTGATGGGAGTTGTGAGTCCAACATCTGGAGGGCACCATGTTGGCAAGCCACGCTCTATAGCCTTTTCAGACATTTTTAAGTGTGAGAGTTTAAACTACAGCAGTTTGTGCACCAGCCCCAATCCTCCTCCAACCTTTCATGCGTTGACCGCAAAGACCTTCCAACCACATTTGGCAGAGCAGCAGCACTCCTTCCCCCTACAGTTGGAGCCCTCCCACAGTCTCTTGGATACCTGAACTCTGCAAATGATTCTTAGCCAAAGGGCAGGATACAAATGCAGCAGACTAAATGCTTGTTGGAAGCCGCCCAGAGTGGCTGGGGCAGCCCAGTTGGAGGGGCATATAAGATTAATATTACAGTGGTACCTTGGTTTACGAACTTAATCCATTCCGGAAGTCCGTTCTTAAACCAAAGCGTTCTTAAACCAAGGCGTGCTTTCCCATAGCGGCGGGAACTCAATTTACAAATGGAACACACTCAACAGGAAGAGAAACATGTTCTGCTTCCAAGGCAAAGTTCACAAACCAAAACACCTGCTTCCAGGTTTGCAGCATTCTTAATCCAAGTTGTTCATAAACTAAGCTGTTCTTAAACCAAGTATTATTATTATATTCTTGCATAAATTTTGCCTCTCAAATGTTCCACTACCAAAAATAGTCCAGAGTCAAAGTATGAGCTGTGTTTCAAATGCTGGCTTTGAGCAGGATCAGTGGCTCCGCTTCATTGTTGCACGGGAAGCAATAGGGGGAGAATAAGGCTGTCATGATTCCCAAGGGTCTGCGTGAAGTGCTGTGAAAAGATGGGATCTGCTTTATAAATGCTGGGTATTGTTAGCACTTAAAGAAAACAAGTCAAGCACCAACTTGCATACCCGGATACATTAAAACATGGTAAGAACTGTGTGCTTTCTAGAGACAAGCTCCTTTTGTCACTGTGGGAATTGTGTTGCCTTGCCCAGCAAAAAAAAACCCAATATTTTGTTTTCTTTTTCCACGCCCCTTCCCCATATCCTTCGCACACAAATCAAAGTGCTTAAAATTCTCCTTAGCGTTCTCCCTGTGTTACTAACTTCTTTTTGCCTTCAAAGATGATTCACCTGTTTCTGGCTGGATTAATAAGCTCTTAACAAGTGTTTTGTGTCGCTGTTTTTCTTTAACATCTCCTCTTTCCTCTTTCTCTTTCGCCTATCCTCTGCTCAGAGACGCTGCAGACAACTCACCCCCTATGGATGAGTCTCAGTCTCCAACTCAACAGAGTACTGATGAATAGAGGTAGAGTGAGGGGACGTTTTCTATATTGGACCCCCCCCCACCCCCCTCCATGCCTCTGCCCCTCCACCTTTGGTTTCCCTGTGGATTTTGTCTTCTTTCAAGAGTTTTATGGGAATGGGAATTCATTACTGGCTAGTTATTTGCATCTATTAGACCCAATATATGAGATATGCATGATTCCAAGTTGCAGATAGGTGCTGTCTTTAAATGAGAGAGTCTTTTATGTCTACATTTACTGCGTGGGGGGGGGGGAGAATCTGCCCAACCACCTGGAAACAATTTTTGTCATAGGCAAGGAGGCTTGTAAACCACCAGTGCCATTTTTCAATTAATAACCCCAAAATATGACCCACTACAGGTGGTGTTAAACAAGGTTTCATGTTGTTGTTGTTGTTTTAAAACTGTCTTAGAAAAGGCACCATTAAGTACTTTCTAGAAGCATACAGCTGCCAAGTTAACTGATTATTGACCATAGGACTTCATTCTGTTGAGTTTCCATTAGGTTAACCAACAAAGTCTTATCTGAAGCAGCCTTCGCCAACTTGTTGCCCTCCAGATGTTTTGGACTTTAACTCTCACCAGCTTTAGGCAGCACATGTGCCAGGACACCAGGCTGCTGAATTCGGATCTAAATACTTCTTGTGATGGATTGCTAAATGCAATTTTTATGCACCTTGTTGGGGGTGGGAAATTGCAAGCAGGGAAGTAAAATGCAGAAAAATACAGATTCTAACAGTTAGACCCATGCTTAATTAAATGTGTGTAAAACCACTAGTGACAAAAAAGTCCCCCTGTACAGTCACAAGTATTTATTTATATTTGCTAACTTAAAGTAACATCTCCCCGGGATAAATCACATGCAGTTGCTGGTGTTTGGTGTCAGATTTGCCACCAGTAATAAGAAAAATTAAAAAATTGTCCAGTAGCACCTTAGAGACCAACTAAGTTTGTTCTGGGTATAAGCTTTCATGTGTATAGCTGAAGAAGTGTGCATGCACAGGAAGCTTATACCCAGAACAAACTTAGTTGGACTCTAAGGTGCTACTGGACAATTTTTTAATTTGTTTCGACTGCATCAGACCAACACTACCTGATCCAGTAATGAGGTTACCCTAGGTGTGTCATTTCCCCCCTCACTTTGACAGTGTACCCTTCCAAGCAGACTGATACATGGAAATTTATTAGGTGAAACCTTTTCCCAGCATGGAGTGCAGGTGAGAGCAGCTTCAGTAGGTCAGGCTGTTGTTTAAAGCCTAGATTTCTTCTTGGGACAGTGGGAGGAGTCTAATCTCATGAGCTGGGGAATAGCGCACAAGAGGGGGGCCAAACCGTAACGCAGTTACAAGACACTGCTTTATGCATGCTCCCGTCTCTGAATGCTTGTGTGCTTGCATGTATCTGTCCACTCCTGTTCCTTCCTTCCTTCCTTCATCTGGGCATGCCCTTCCCTTCAAATAGATAAGATGTTTGCTCCATGATTGGCCAAGTTCCCATTCCTCTGATAGTTACTATTGCTCTGGGCCAATGATGTACTTTAACTTTCAAAAACACACAAATCAAATAGGGTTTGCTATTTAAACAGTGTGGCTAAATTGATGTGATGGTGCATGGTTAGCTTTAGACGCCAATAGCTTTAGACTCAGGGTTACCCTGAGAAAGATTTCACAGGAGGCTGGGTGGGGAACCTTGTTCAGGCCAAGGGCCACATTCCTTTCTGGGAGGCCTTTCAAGGGTCCTGTGATGGTGGTGTGCAGGGCCAGAAGCAAAAGTGAGTGGTGCAGCATGTGACTCTTGTGCAGAAGAAGTCAGAGGTTTCTATGTTTCTTGGTCAGACCACACCTGGAACACTGTGTCCAGCTCTGGGCACCACAGTTTAAGAAGGATGTTGAGAAGCTGGAACATGTGCAGAGGAGAGCAACCCAGATGATCAGGGGTCTGGAAACCAAGACTGATGATGAGTGGTTGAGGGAGCTGGGTATGTTTAGCCTAGAAAAGAGGAGACTGAAGATGATTGCCATCTTCAAATATCTCAAGGGCTGTCACATGGAGGAAGCTTGCTCTCTCCTCCTGCAGGGGCTAGGACCTGAAAATATGGCTTCAAGTTGCAAGAAAGGAGATTCAAACTAACCATCAGGAAGAACTTCCTGACAGTAAGAGCTCTCCTTCCTTGGAGGTTCTTATGCAGAGGGTGGGTGACATCTGTCATGGATGCTTTAGCGGAGACATTCCTGCTTTGCAGGAGTTTGGAATAGATGACCCTTGTGGTCCCTTCCAACTCTATGATTCTATAATTGTATGGTTCTCTGTGTCTTGTATCCAAGCATCCTAGTTTCTACACATTCATACACCTCTCTCTCTCCTCCATCCAGACAATCAAGAGGCATAATCAAGAGGCATTCCAGCTGGGGAAGAGTTCTGATGGCCTCATTTGGCCCCCAGCCCTTAGGTCTCCCCACTCATCTTACAGCAGCAATGCACATGAAAGTTACCAAGAGTGTGTTTTCTCCACTTCTTCAACCTCCATTGCTCTAGTCTCTGAGGTTGTAGTTCTACTGCCTCTTCCCGGTGTGCTAATTTGAGTTTCTGTCCCTTCTCTCTACAGGAGCTGCAGTGATAGCTGTTACTTGGATTCTCCCCTCTATCCAGAACTAGCTGATGTCCAGTGGTACGGACAGGAGAAAGCCAAGCCTGGAACTCTCGTGTGAATCCCCTTGACCTCAGCTGTTCAAACGCATCAATGCCATTCTGAAAAATCACCTCACTGCCTCTCATTTGCCTTACACTGGCACCTGATACCAGCTTCAAGTCAAAGCACTTTTTGCATAAGGCAACTGAAGATGATATTAGAAAAACAGATCCATCCCCAACCAGTAGCAGAAAACTAATTCCTTCACTCCTGGTTATTTCAAACTGCCATGTGCCTCACAGAGATCACCCCAGAGCAGAGGGCAAATTTACAAATAACTTGGATGTTAAGAACACCACAGGCAGTCAATTCAAACCATTCAAGGTTGCATAAGCCTCTTTCTTTGATATGTACAACTGTTCTAACATATATGATTTGAACTCTAAAGTCAAAGTACTAGTTAATGCTAATGTGACAGCTATCATGAAATACCCTTTTCATTGCAGAAAAAGACTGTAGGGAATAGAGAATGATCCTATCATTTCAGAGTGAGCCAGAATACTGTACTGCAACTGTTCTGTGCTGCCAAAGATTTCAGTAGCTGTTTTATGATGCATTTAAAAGTATCCATTTTTTTCAGAAACAGTAACGCTACTATTCTGTAACTTGCCTTCCATCTTGATGCTCTGAGCACCACTCTACTATGATGATACTCACCCCACAACCTGGGCAGATATCATCTGAGAAAACTCTGAAAAGATGAACAAGGGCAAGGAATTGCTTCTTTTTAACGTTCCTGTGATTAGTTGCAAGTAAAACAACCAATAAATTTTTCAGAGGATTTCTATGATCAGTTGTGAAGTAAAATGCCAAAAAGTGTTGTTTTGTTTAAAATCAATTTGCCTAGAAAATGTCTCACATCATGGAAAAGCACACCATGTAAGCTTGACAGCAAAATACAGTAATACTTGTGCGGGGAAGGGCTTATTGACTGGCCAGGGAAGTGAACTATGCTTCAAAGAGGAGTGCTTGGCAGTTTTTATTTGTTTACGAGCAGTTTAGGTTGTTTTCCTAAGATGAATCATGAAGAGATTACAAAAACTTTTGACACGAAGTATGGTTGTCTGCCAATACCAAAAGAGAGGAAACTACAAGTTTACATGTACACTTGAGCAATGCTTTTTTATACACTTCTAGAAAGCCATCATACTTCACAAGGCCTCAGTACTTTTATAATGAACTAATGCACAAATTTCTAGGTCCCCGGTCAACTGCTAGTTTGCTGGAGGACCACCATGGAAAAGGAATGGCCAGGAAGAAGCAAGGATCATAACAACCCTCCCAAGCCCATAGACCACCTCCCAAGTCTCAATGCCACTAGTATTTTGCCCCTGGATGGACAACAGTGAGGACCAGAACGCCCTTTTCTGGTGCCACCAGTTGCTCAACCCCTGATCTGAACAGATATGAGAGCAGGCACACCAGGTCTTCACCCAACGGCCAAGTGTCTTGCCCCCCCTTCCCCAAATGTTATGTTTGTGTGCATGCAGCTGACAAACTGAAGAGAGGCTCTAAAAAGAAAAGAAGAAAAGCCCTAAAGGCCAATTTTGTTGAAGAAAAAAAAAAGATTCCACAAACACAAGAAACCTAAATTCTCCCAAATGGAACAAAATAACTACTGCTCTTCCAAGAAGGATTGGTAGAAGATTTTGCACCGTTAAGTAGGGCTGGGCAATATCTGATATATCATCAGCTAAACATTGCAATATACCGATCTATCACAAAATAAGGATGGAGCTATGAAGAGGCAATGGCTGGCTTCATGGTTTTTCTTGCATTGTGATATTTGCATAGCGTGCACACAGAAACACACATGATTTGTGATATATTGCCAGGTCAAAAATTATGAAGCCAGTTTCAAAATATGTCCTTTGAGCCAGTTTTGGACGATATATTGATATATCACCCAGCCCTACTGTTAAGACTCAGTAAGGGTCTGTCTAAAAGCAGAGAAAGAACAAGCTAAAATCACAAGCAAGAGGGAGATCACTGAAGCAAATAGCACAAGAACAGGTTGTCTTATTTCTATTTCATATTCATCAAGGAGGCATTATGGAAACATCCACATCTTAAGCCCTTATGTCCATATGCCATTGTGATGAACAGAGCAAATGACATTTCATTTGAAGCAATAACCGCAGTCCCTCACCAAGTTAGGCTTAAGCAACACTGAAGTCAGTGGAATCCAAGCACCTTAACCATTACAGGTTTGCAGCCAATGTTGCTTTTAAACATCTCATCTTAAAATAAGATTGGAAAATGTATTGATTTAGTCTCTCTTAAAAATGAAGTATCAGCAAAATAATAAACTATGACAATAACATGCAACTTAAATGGCGTCGTCCTAACGTTTTACCAAGGAAATTCTCCAAAGTTCATGCTTTTTCTCTCCTACACGCTGCCCCTCTCTGTGTGTGTCTCTGTGTGTAGTAGTACCCTCTGCTAGCAACATCCAGCATATGGCTTCACAAACCAAGACAACCAACTAGATGCATCCTTCTCAACTTAAGTACCGTATTTTTCCGTGTATAAGACTAGGGTTTTTTCCTAAAAAATAAAGTCAAATATTAGGGGGCATCTTATACACAGATACATTCCCCCCCGGCGCCATTTTCTTAAATCTGAGTCCCCAAAAATACATGGGGGCGTCTTATGGACTGAAAAATACGGTATGTGTAGTATATGGACTTAAACTGGTTTAACATTCATTCCCTCACTGTGGAGAACTATAGTTCTCAGCATATGAAAGGACTGCTAACAGAATTTGCAGCCCCTTCATTAAATTACACTTCCTGTAAATTCTTTAGCAGAAGCCATGACAGGTAAAACTGGTAGATTACTGATTAAACTCACCTTCCAGGCTCCATCTAAACAACTTGATTTGTTTTAATTTGCACCTGAAAAGTGAATCGGAATGCTTGCCAAAATCACCTTAGTAAACATACCAACAGTAATGGAAATCACAGTCACCCAGTCTAGCTAAAAAGTTATTTGTGACTAGTTTGCTTCACTGCTTCAATGGTCACACCTGAAACCAGATGGACTGGGGCTCCTTTTTTTATTGGGCTGTTTGGATATGATCCTGATGGACCAATAGTTCCCATCTGTTACATCCTAATGAGAACTGGCATCTTATTTTGCAGCAATACTGGCAGCCCTGAGTCAACAGAGAATGGGCTCCAATTTTCAGAAGCAGAGTAACATTCTCAAGGGGGGTGGGAGGGAGGCCATGTTGAGCAGGGGAGAGCAGGGTGTGTTTCATTTTTGTTTTTTTAGTCAAGGCACTTGTGAGCCAGTCTGGTAGTAAAGACAGAAATTAAGTAAAACAGGTTTTACTGTTTAACTCAATTCAGTTATACAAAACTGTACATAAAGTGTTAATCGGGAGATTAACATGTTTTGAGTATGATATGAGGGGGTAAACCATAGCTATTGTATACAAGCACTTGACTACCCCACTAATAACCCCCTTGAATTTTGCTTTTGTATCCATGAAAAGGTCCCTCATCCAATATTGCATTTTGTCTGTATGTACAAACCACCACCCTGGCAGGGTTTATTTTTAAAATAATATTATATGCAGTTGAGTGTTGGAAATGTTGGGGGGGGGAGGTCCAGTTCGTTTTGTTTTGTTTTCCCACCCCAGTATTAGTTTTAGTTTTGGACATAGCAAACCCCAATCAGGTGCTATCAGATGACCAGTTACTGCTTAGTTAACTAGATGTAAAGTTTTACATATATATAAATATATATATATTAATGTCAATAGTTTTATTACAAGTTGAGCAAAATGGACTCTAGTTTAAAATAAGGGGGAAATTAGAACTCTTCTGAAATGGACTGTAGAGCATGTAAAATGATTTTACTGAAACCTGTGCAACGGTAATCAAGGGGAAGGAAAAAAATGTTATGTTGTAGAAAAGTTTGCAGAATTTTTTTTTTAAATCTGCTTTTAATTTATTCTTTTTCTATTAAGAATTTGTATAGTTACCTTTACATTTTGCAAAAACAGTGTTGTCAACACTTCCTTATTAAAGCATTTTCAAGATGAAATTTGGTGTCCGTATTTTTTCCTGCAGTATCCAAGGTGACTTTATGAGCAGTCTCTCTTAATTTGGTGGTGCCCACTCCTAGTTGTGCATACTGGCTCAGTGCACACGACACATTAAACAATAGTTTAAATTGTTTCTGTGAATGAGCAGTGAGTTGTTCCAGTCTTGCTCCCCAAGCATGTGGAAACAAACCAGAGGCTAACTTGCTGTTCTATGTATGACCCTGCACTCTTCTAACAAGCCACAATACACCAAGATTTCCAGTGATGTGAGAACCAGGCCCCTGCCTTCCGCCTTGCATCAGCAGCTTCAAACATTAGTGCCAGCATTTGTGCAAACCACTTTTACTCTTTTATATCCATGTGCAGGAACACTAGATGGTTGGTAACTAAATTTAGGATAAAAATAGAGCCTAAAGCTACAATACTACCAAGCAAGATTCCTCTCTTTGAGAGGAGGGTTCCAGCTTATGAAACTATCCCCCCCTCCCATCCTAAAGTCTTATTTATCAAGATTCAAGCGAAATCTTTCAAAACGTTTCTGCTCAACTGAAAAACAATTTTATTGTACTGTATTCATCAGCTAGTGATGGCTATCCAGGTTGTCCCTTGTGTAGAAGGGCAACCAGGAAATTCTTACACTCTATTTGTCTTTTATTTATTTTCTTAAGGTACAGGTTGTTGTGTACTTGAACACAAGCTTGTGGCTGCCATTCAGGTCAAGCCCAGAGACAAGGAGCCTCCCTCAAGCCTGGGATGAAAACCCAGTTGCCATAGCAGATTTCTCATTAAGATACTCCCTTAGCCAGGACAGCTGGAAATGCTTATTTTGCAGTTCCTGTGGTTTCCGGTAAGGTGCCATTCCACAGATTGCTAGAGGATAAACTTAATTCTGACACAGGATGCAATATCATAAAAGGTAAAGGTACCCCTGCCCGTATGGGCCAGTCTTGACAGACTCTAGGGTTGTGCGCTCATCTCACTCTATAGGCCGGGAGCCAGCGCTGTCCGCAGACACTTCCGGGTCACGTGGCCAGCGTGACAAGCTGCATCTGGCGAGCCAGCGCAGCACACGGAAACGCCGTTTACCTTCCCGCCAGTAAGCGGTCCCTATTTATCTACTTGCACCCGGAGGTGCTTTCGAACTGCTAGGTTGGCAGGCGCTGGGACCGAGCAACGGGAGCGCACCCCACTGCGGGGATTCGAACCGCCAACCTGACGATCTTCTCATTAAGATACTCCCTTAGCCAGGACAGCTGGAAATGCTTATTTTGCAGTTCCTGTGGTTTCCGGTAAGGTGCCATTCCACAGATTGCTAGAGGATAAACTTAATTCTGACACAGGATGCAATATCATACAGAAAGCTTATTTTCAGGACCACCAGCCAGGAGAGAAAATGCCCATAAAGGAAAGCTTTCCGGGAGAAGTAGCTTTTTCCCACATTCAGCAATGCTGCCATTGCCTTCCAGAATTTAAGACATCTGCTTACATAGTCTGTAAAAGGCACTCCCCAGTCCAAGTTGCACTTGCTACAGCTAGCATGTCATCCCTCTTGTGGGAGGTGAAATATCTACTCATGATCTTTCCAAGACCCTAAGGACTCTGCTTCTCTTTTAAAAGATGCTCCTCCTTAACTCAGAGCATGTACTGCCGACAAAATTATAGTTCTTGTAAATCACAGACACCAATGTTTCTAAACATAGAGTATAAAACCAAGGCCAGACTAAATGGCTGAATTTGGAAACCACTGGGGCGAGCCATGGAAGACAGTTGTGACATGAGAAATATGTCCTGCTATATTAAATCCCCTTGATGTGTACAAAACAATTTACAACCCACCAGCATTTCCTTCACAGCATCTTCTTGTCCACTCGCCAGATATTCCCAGCCTAATCAGCTACAATGCTGCCTCCCCTTAGCCAAAAGCTCCTGCTTACTCTTTTTAAACTCTACAGATTTCTGTACCACCTCCTGGGCTTTAATACTTTAGACTGCAACATTTTCCAGGCCTAAGAAGCTTCAAGGGAATAGTGATTTTTGTTTCTTTCTGACAACGTCTCCAATATATTTATTGAAAAGAACCATTAGCCAAGCAGTTACATTATACTTTTATAGGCAAAAAAGTAATTTTATAAAGATCCAACTGCTCCCTCCTCCTCTCTAAGGCTGGAACACCACCTTTGCCACCAAACGCAGCATTCCCAACCTCTTGTGTTGGCTCTTTGCAGGGTGAAGCAGCAGCCAAGTATAGCAAGGGGTGCTCGGCTCTGCCTACATTTACAGCATTTCAGAGGCACCACCTCTCCCACCCCAATGAAGGGGGATTTGAGATGCACTTGCTAGCCAGGTGGAAACAAGCAGCAGGAAAAGAGCCTGCAGAGGAAAGCTGTGCGCAGGAAACTGTGGTCCGCGTGTGTGCACAACCCCTCCTGCCAGCAGTTTTCTTCCCGCAATCTCACGCCCCTAAAAAACCAAACAGAAGGTTGGGAATCCCACATTTGTCACTGAATGTGTGTACCTTTGCCCTACTCTGACTGAAGCTTTTCCAACACATTATAAAGATTCAAAGTAAAGTTATAGTTTAAATTCCCATTTAAAGGTCCAGCGCCGAGGGCCTTCTGGCGGTTCCCTCATTGCAAGAAGCAAAGCTACAGGGAACCAGGCAGAGGGCCTTCTCGGTAGTGGCGCCCGCCCTGTGGAACGCCCTTCCAGCAGATGTCAAAGCGATAAACAACTACCTGATATTCAGAAGACATCTGAAGGCAGCCCTGTTCAGGGAAGTTTTTAACGTGTGATATTTTACCGTATTTTTGGTTTTTATGGAAGCCGCCCAGAGTAGCTGGGGAGGCCCAGCCAGATGGGCGGGGTATAAATAATAAATTATTATTATTAACTGAACAAATATGGAAGACAGGCTTATGGTGCCAGCAAGCAAAAAAACAGCCCAACTCAACACTTACTGACCTTAGTAAGCAACCAGCATCTCAAAAGGCCCTCTGCAAAAATCCTCAGAGGGAGTTTCTCTCAACATACTGCAGGAGAGCTTTTCTAGAACAAGATACCCTGCCCCTTCCCAAATTCATCTTTTAAAACCCTGCCCTGTGCCATTTTTGGCATTGTTGCTCTTTATATTCTTTTGAACGTGTGAGAGCTTTTAAAATAAAATATTGAGCAAGCTAGGACAATACACCAGTTATCAGGAAAGGAGATGCTAAACCACTGTGTGAAGTAACCACACCACTGCCTCCCCCCCCCCCACCTCCAGTGCCTCCAGGAATGCGAGAATGTGCCCATAAACTTGGTATCATCACACTCTGGAAACAAAAGTCCTGTTTACTTTACCACAGTCCTGTAAGAAATCCAGTCTCGACTGCCACATTCTGGAGGAACAGACATTCTTCTCAGAGTTTTCTGTCCGGCCTCCCAGACAGATACTGGAGTAAAGAGCCTCCAGTCTTCCATGAAAAGCAGCTGCCACAGCAGCATTCACCCTATAATCTGTGCCTAGTGACTAAACAGAACGGAAACAGATCAAAACCCTTTTAAAAAATGCAAATATGTTTTATTTGCTGCTTATTCAGTTTCCTAAAGATGAAAATATCCTGAACTGGCAGAACCTGAATTGTTCATAAGGTACAACAGGATCAAACCCCATGAAAACCCTGCCAACTTCAGTGCATGCAAGAATCTGAGCTGAGAGAGACTTCCAGAAGTTTGTCAAATGAACTACTAAGACAGTTTCAACCATCCTGAAAGAGAATAGTGCACCTGGACTATCAATACAGTATTCAGAGACCAAAGCACCTACATATTTACAAATTAAGAACCTCCTACACTCTATCTTCCAGCCATACACAGCAATAGAATCTCAAGTATTCAAGTGGTCCTGAATAACCCTCCCTCACACAGTAATTCCTAATGTCCCAAGTTGTTATTAAATAATCCGAAGTGCCCATGAGGTCAAAGTATCCACCCACACAAGAGAGGCTGCCTGGTGTGTCCTTGAAAGATTAAATGTTGTGGACTCATGTCTTTCCTATCAACCTCTGTGAAAGGAGAGAGGGAGGAAAGTGTACTGTGCTTCTTGCTTCAGAGGTAACAATATTGTTCCAAGTCTCTCCAAGTGAAAGCACAGCAGAGGGGCACACCTTCAGAGGAGGCTGCTTCCTGCATCTCTGGATGAGTTACTGTTCTGGGCATGCTTCCTGCCATTTGGGAGTCATGCTTGTATTCGTGGTCAGTGCACAGCATACAAGGAAAGCAGCGAGTTTTACTCCTAATTATTAAAAATAAACATTTTCTGCAATAAGAGTGGTTTTGTCTCCATTTTAAAGAAAAGGTTGCCTGAACTATCAGAAATATGGGAAACACAGTCTTACTACCATTATTCTGAACAAAACTGATGTACATTTGAAGAATTTAAGCTGCAAGACACATACTTGGAAGTCAATGTGGATACTGTTCCGTAAACTGTCACAAATTCATTCAGCTTCAGAGCTGTAATGGAAACGTCATGGGCCAGAGAACCTTAGCTAATCTGCATACTTTAGCTATTTGCAATTAGCATGGTTAGCATTGTTATCTGCATGAACATTATGGATGCCAAGAAACAGCTGGTGTAGACATTTCATGTGTTCTGTTAGCCCTCACATCAAATAAGGCAGGCACTGAATTAACTTAAAGGCATTAAAAGTGCTGTTGAATGCACCCTCAGAACTTACATTTTCATATTTTTCTGCAAGCTGAACACTAAACACTTACTCAATGTTTTCATCGCAGCCTATGTCCTGAAAATGACCTCCCAATCCCTACCATGTACACAGTAAGAATGAACAAATATAATTAAGCTCAAACTGCTGAACCTGACTGCCTCAATGACTTTTTCCTTCCATATAAATCTGCTCTTGCTTTTGAGATCCGTTTTGAAAGACCTAATCTCGGAGCTTATCAACCTGGATCAGTCTATGTCTGCACATATTCATTCTTAAATCCATTCCATTCCATTGTTGCATTCATCTGTGCATTGCACAAAATACTACCTAGAGAGCATTCTGTAAGCAAATACTTTATCTTTTATATATAATTTTATTGAATTTCCTATTTTTTACGAATTTGACTTCAAATTAAATAGTTGCATTGTTTCATGGATTGACTTCTCACTCACACCTCCAGAGTGTTTTTGTTCAAACTCTTTTCTACTGTCAAAACAAAAAAATTCCTTCCAGTAGCACCTTAAAGACCAACGAAGTTAGTTCTTGGTATGAGCTTTCGTGTGCATGCACACTTCTTCAGATACACTGAAACAGAAGTTGCCAGATCCTTCTATATAGTGAGAAGGTGGGGAGGGGTATTACTCAGAAGGGTGGTGGGAATGGGTGATTGGCAGATAGCTGTGATGAGCCTGTTGACGACTCTTAACGACTGCAATAGGTCTTACAGGAAAAAGCAAGGGGTGAGAAGGTGAAAAATGGCTTTGTCATGTATAATGAGATAAGAATCCAATGTCTTTGTTCAGACCAGGTCTCTCCATGGTTTTAAGTTTGGTAATGAGTCGCAATTCAGCAGCTTCTCTTTCCAGTCTATTTCTGAAATTCCTTTGTAGTAAAACAGCTACTTTGAGATCTTGTATAGAATGTCCTGGGAGATTGAAGTGTTCTCCTACTGGTTTCTCTGTCTTGTGATTCTTGATGTCAGATTTATGTCCGTTTATTCTTTGGCGTAAGGTTTGGCCTGTTTGTCCAATATAGAGAGCTGAAGGACACTGTTGGCATTTGATGGCATACACAATGTTAGACGATGAGCAATTAAATAGTCCCGAGATGGTATGTGTGATGTTGTTGGGGCCAGTAATGGTGTTGTCTGGGTGTATGTGGCAGCAAAGTTGGCATCTGGGTTTATTGCAGGCTCTGGTGCCAGTGTCCGTGTTAAGTCTGGTTGTAGTATTATTGTGGGTTAGGAGTTGTTTAAGATTGGGTGGCTGTCTGTAGGCAATGAAAGGTCTTCCTCCCAGAGCTTGAGAAAGAGAACTGTCATTGTCCAGGAGAGGTTGTAGATCTCTGATGATGCGTTGTACTGTTTTAACTTGGGAGCTGTATGTGATGACTAGAGGTGTTCTGTTATTTTCTTTTTTGGGTCTGTCTTGCAGCAAGTTCTCTCTGGGTATCAGTCTGGCTCTGTTGATCTGTTGTTTAACTTCATCTGCTGGGTATTTTAGTTCTAAAAAGGTTTGCTGTAGATCTGTAGGTGAGAGTCTCTGTCTGTAGAATTGGAACAGATACGGCTGTAACGTAGTGCCTGGCTATATACAATGGACTGTTTGGTATGTTTGGGATGGTAGCTAGAGGCATGTAGATATGTTTGTCGGTCAGTTGGTTTACGGTATAAGGTGGTGTCTATGTCTTTTCTACTGTGCTATATATCAAACTCTTACCTTACAGAAATCCCTCTAATACAATTACTTTAACATTTTTTCTTCCGCTGCTCCCATCTCGTACATATTTTATCTCAATGTATGCCTTCCTAAATTTACTTTATCTTAAAATACACATTTCTGCTATTTTTTGAGAAAAAAAATTGAATTCAGCACCACACAATGACCATTATTCTTCCAGTGCAAGCATTTCTACTCACCTTCTCCCCCCACCCATGCATTGTTCTGGGGCTTCTCCTGACCCTCTGGGGCAATGTGGGGGAGATGTAGGGGTACACAAGGGGACAAGGGCTGCTGCAAAAGCCCTGCTGCACTAGCAGAAGTCATTGAGCTGGCTTCCACTGACACACTGAGTTGGTGAATCCACCCGGGTACCACAAAGTTCAGAGAAACATGAAATCCCAAAGATAATCATGTTCCAATCCATATCTCTAGTTAAAATGAACATTTTCACTTAAAATGGATTAGTTTCTTGCTGTATACTGTGTCTGGAAAGTATAGTTAGTTGATGCTTTATTCATGGTACAAATATTTTGCTTTTGTTTCTAAATCTGTCAGCTTAAGAGCGTGCAACCAAACGGAATGCATTCTTCACCATCTTGACAGTCCCCTCCACCTTCCCTCCCAGCCTCTCTTTCACCTCTCCTTGGGTCTGATGGCAGGAGCAGAGAACTGTCATTTTACTGCAGTTCTATAAAGGGCTATTCACATGTATGATGGCATTAAAAATAATGATAAACTACTTCAGGAGTATTAAAACTTCCATTATTTAGTGGTAACAAAGAAATCTTTATAACTTATCCTTGTGTGATGGAAAAGTTTGTTTACTGAGCAGGTTGAGTCCCCGAGTGTTTCTCCCCCTGCCAGCAAAGAGTTGCAAGGGAGGCGGAGTGGAGGGAGAGACGGGGAGAGATTCCTGGGGTCTGTGAGGAGAGCGAAGATGCAGACCCCGGTTAAAACAGGCAAGGCACAGTCCCACACGGTGTTTTGCGGGGAAATGGGTCCTCTGACAGGAAAGGGCAACAGTGGTTCTGAGGCCAAGGAGGATTTGGGGGTCTGCAGGGAAACAGTCCAGTTAAAAGCCGACGTTCCTGAAGTGGGAGTGGAGAAGTCTGATCTATGGAAAATGCGTAGAAGAAAGTAACCTTAAGCCCAAACACCATACAGCCTATAACTTGAGACAGTTTACGTTTTAATAAAAAGCAACAGCAGTTTGTTACATTTCTGTGGAAGAGGAAGAACCAAAACTCCTTCTTCAGATCTGTTACAATAAAGTCTGTTTGCAACCTGTTTTCCCAAGAGAAAAACCCACTGTCGCTCGTGATTCATTCTCCATTGGGGATTTCACCTGAGGGAAAGGGAAACAGGGCTGGCCCACGGGCGCCAGGAAGAGAGGGCACCGCTGGCCCTGCTCCTGGTAAAAGTCGGAGAAGGGTTCTCTGAAAGATCTTTTCCTTTTACCTGTTACTTAACAGTGTAATTATCATGATCCTACAAATTATTGTTCAAATTTTGGTGCCAGAAAAATCCTCCAGACTCCCCCCAAAAAGACAAGATAGCATTTTATAAGATAACAAAGTCATTTTATATATATATATATATATATATATATATATATATATATATATATATATATAAATTTTTATTCATATTTGCACATATATACAGAAAAAACATAAACAAAAAATTCACCGATAACGAAGTCATAATGCACAAAGACAGAGGCAGCAGGATGCCAGTTTAGCTGGACCAGTTCTGTTCACCCTAAAGTTCTCACACCACAGTGTGGAGTTAAGTGTCCTGGTCACAATCATGAAAAATAATTTCTGATACAAAAGTGAATGAATCAATCAAAAGCTTGGGTGCATTTCTTAGAAATATATTTTTCCTATAAATGAAGTACCAAGAAAATAAAATGGTCCTATGTACAATGATAAATACAACTCATGTTTCAAAACTGTGATGAAATCAGTCCTTATAAAGCAAGGAGGCTCAAAATCTAAAAGGCAAGGTAGAACTGAACTTTTGCTCTGATAAAAATTAAAGGAAAACACACACATATACAAACTTGTCCTCAAGCTAGCGAGACAAGCCGGCAACATGTTCCAGCCCAGGACTTGAAGAAGACATAAAGGTTCATCAAAAGAGAAAATGAATATGATCTGTGCGACTGAGCCTCAGTAAAGCCGCATGCCTTTCTTCTCCCACCCCAGCTCACTCCAATTCCCAAACGGAGAGCATTTCATAGAGACTGCTTTCTTCTCTCATAACCTGCGTATCCACATTGTCACAGCGCATTGTACTCCACACATTTGGATGGGTCGGTAGGGAAATGTTTCTGGCAAATGGTCATCAGCCTCTTCAAGCCCTGCAGAGATAAATACAAGAATGGCATGCTGGTAACCAAGACCAGACGCGGGAGAGTTGCAGCCCCGGGGCTGAGCGGGGCAGGTTTAAGCCTCCTATTTGCGCTTACAAATGCTGAACGCTTAAGACTAAAGAAAGTGACTCTCCGGACAATGGATCCACCACTCTTTATCTCACCTGGATGTATTTCCTCTGAGTTTCATCATTCAGAACGTGAGCCACGTGCTTTGAGAAAATCTTCTCTCGACCAGTTCGCGCATGGATGCCCACCATAGTGACGCCGATAGGCCAGGGAGCGTTCCCAATGGCCATCTGCAGATAGGCATCGTTAGCCTGCAGAAATAAAGGCAGGCAACTGACGGACAAGGCAAGAGGCACCAGGGGAGGAACAGAGCCTGCAGGGACAGCTAAAAGAAAGCCAAGAGCCCCATCTTCAGATTTTGTGGCTAATAGTTCTAGAGCCACAGGCCAGAGCACACCTGCAGTCCTCATGCTTACAAGCTTTATGCAAAATGGCTTCACAATAATTATTACTTTCACTGACAAGGCACCAAAATTAGCATTTCTTGAAACAGTAAAAATCTTACTAGATCAGTTTAAAACAAAACACACAAAAAACCCTATAAAATACAGCACTCCCCAGATCTCATTAATCAACACAGAACTTTTCAGAAGCTTGGATAGCGTTATGTGATTAACCCACCATGCCCAGTCAGTGTCTGACAATGTCCACATGCAAACCTGAATGTTAGCCGGTCCAAGTCTCAAAGAATCATACAATGCAATATGTTCTCCCATCCCTGCACCTGAAGGTCTAAACAACAACTTATACATGTTTGAACCTGCATTTCTATGCTTATTAGAGCTAATAATATTTCTCTGAAGGGTTAAGCTAGAGACACTTTCACATCCCTTAATGCAGGGGTGGGGAACCTCCAGCACGAGACCTAATCAGGCCCCCCAGGCCATTTGGCAAAGTCACACTTAGTCGCCAATCGTCCAAAGTCCCATATGACATCAGATGCAAGTGGTTAAAAATACAGCTGGGCTAGGCCCAAAGGGGCTTCCAAAGAGCCCTGCACAGGGATTTGAAGTGCTGGCGATCAGCTGATTGTGGGGGCTACAAAGCACAGTGCAGGGTTCTTTGCAAGGAGTCCTGGGCTGGACTTTGAAGCCCCACTGATCAATGGTGCTTTGAAGTCCCAACAGTCACCTAATTGTTGGGGCTTCAAATGTCACTTCACATCACTGTGACACCAGGTGATCGAGAGGTAGATGTGCCACCCCCCCCATCAATTTATTTATTTTTTGCTCGAGGGAGTGATGGAAGAAGAAGATCTGGCCTGCACCTGCCTCAAGCGAATTAAGCCACAAAACACAAATATCATTGACTCTGTAAAAGTTCAGTACCTTCACATACTCCCTTTGCAGCATGAACTTGATAATGTCCGTTATTGATTCCTTGATGTCAGCAGGGATATTCTAAAGACAAAACAGCAAATATCAAGTAGGCAACGAAACTCGTGATTCTCATACCACACTATATCTTAAATAAGACCACAGACGTGATCAATCCTCACAGCCAAAAACGCTTACTTTTGGAGACAGTAAGAACTAGCCAGCCTGAGAGAAAGCCAGCTCCTTTGTTTGTGCCTGAGTGACTGAAGCAGGCACACTTCCAGAGCAGCATGTTAGTTCCTTTGAAAGCCAGCCCTTCTGCTGCGCTGAGAGTGGCTGCAAAAGCCAATCACACCTGATACAGAGACAGACCAGAATTAGAGAAGCTTGACCTCAAGTGGGTAATTATGCTGCGAAAAAAGAACACACCTTTGCGTGTGAGTGGAGGGTTCAGACTTACAGCTTTTATATATTTGCAAATCTGCAGGGAAGCAGCCAACCCCACTAATTTGCTTTGTCTAGAGTACTGTTTCTCCTTGCTTTTCCCAGCCACCCCAGCAACTCAGCCACCACTCCCGTCGTGCTCCAGCTCTGCTCCAGGCTAGGAGAATCTGAGTGGCAGAGGCAGGCAGCTCACTGTTGCCATGCGCTGAGTGTCCTCATGGCTCTGCTTCACTATCCTTGGAGAGAAAAACATGAGCACTGGAAGCTAATCCACTAGGATAAATGAGGAGTCTCCCTGCTTATTTAACTTATACGCAGAATTCATCATGCGAAAGGCTGGGCGGGATGAATCCCAAGCCGGAATTAAGATTGCTGGAAGAAATATCAACAACCTCAGATATGCAGACGACACAACCTTGATGGCAGAAAGTGAGGAGGAATTAAAGAACCTTTTAATGAGGGTGAAAGAGGAGAGCGCAAAATATGGTCTGAAGCTCAACGAAGATCAAAAAAACGAAAAGATCATGACCACTGGTCCCATCACCTCCTGGCAAATAGAAGGGGAAGAAATGGAGGCAGTGAGAGGTTTTACTTTCTTGGGCTCCATGATCACTGCAGATGGTGACAGCAGCCACGAAATTAAGAGACGCCTGCTTCTTGGGAGAAAAGCAATGACAAACCTAGACAGCATCTTAAAAAGCAGAGACATCAGCTTGCCAACAAAGGTCCGTATAGTTAAAGCTATGGTTTTCCCAGTAGTGATGTATGGAAGTGAGAGCTGGACCATAAAGAAAGCTGATCGCCGCAGAATTGATGCTTTTAAATTCTGGTGCTGGAGGAGACTCTTGAGAGTCCCATGGACTGCAAGAAGATCAAACCTCTCCATTCTGAAGGAAATTAACCCTGAGTGCTCACTGGAAGGACAGATCGTGAAGCTGAGGCTCCAAGACTTTGGCCACCTCATGAGAAGAGAAGACTCCCTAGAAAAGGCCCTGATGTTGGGAAAGATGGAGGGCCCAAGGAGAAGGGGACGACATGGTTGGACAGTGTTCTTGAAGCTACCAACATGAGTTTGACCAAACTGCAGGAGGAAGTGGAAGACAGAAGTGCCTGGCGTGCTCTGGTCCATGGGGTCACGAAGAGTCAGACACGACTAAACGACAACAGCCTCACCCATCTGTCTTCCCTCCGCCAATCCCTTGCCTGTGCCCGCCTTCTTCCATGCCGCCAGTCACGGGGTGGATCTGCCTGTCACTGACTGGCTCCACCTACTGTTCGTCTTCCTGCCTTCTCCCCTACCATTGCCAACTGTGCTGCTCCACAAAGCTCCTGCATCCTGTTTTCCACAGTGTGGTGAGTTCAACACAAGTGTGACTAACAAGAGAGCTGAGTTCGGCTCGAAGAAAGGTTTCACATCTCTACTCCTCTTCCATGGATTTCTAGGTGACTTCCTGTGGGTTACTGCACATCAGCCTTAATTTCTATCTATAAAAGGGGAATTACTGTCTTGATCTTGTGCACAGGCAGACATGTTGAAAAAGTGAATGTTAACTAAGACTAGAAAGAAAACTGGCAAATTAAAAAATGGCCGTGTCAGTGGATCTGAAGTAGAAGATCCAGAAAGGATCTTTCATCCCCTGGTATTGTACAGATTAGGAGTCTGTTTCACTTCCTCCATCTGTGAAAAAGAAAATGTCACTGCACACACTCCATCAGGGGTAGGGAAGCATTTTGGCCCCAGGGGTCAGATCTTTATCCCCTCCCCACTCCACCGGCCAACTGTGACAGGTGTGTGGGAGCACCTGATGTCACAGTGACATCCCAAAAGCACAGCAATCAGCTGGTTGTTGGGCCCTTTGCAATCCCTGTGCTCAGCACTTCACTAGGGTTGAGCACAGTGCTTACAAAGTGCCCGAAAATCAGCTGGTTGTTCCCCATTTGGAACACACTGAGTAAAGCACCTTTAGGCCAAGTCCCAACCTTTCCTGTCTCATACCTGACATCACACATGGCATCAGATGTAGGGCCGTTGAGCATGGCTTAGCCAAAACAGCCTGGAAGCCCAATGGTGAGGCTTACAGGCCAACTTTGGCTCACAGGCTGGAAATTCCCCTCCACTGTGCTACATAGTTAGAAAAGGGTGACTGAAAAAAGCAGTCTTGCTTAATTCCATAATCCCTAATACGGCAAAACCTTTACTAGGTCAATCAAAACATCACAAAACAGTGTGTGATTCTGAGTTCTCATCATCAAGCTAGATTGTAAACAAAGTGTGGAACGGAGGGTAAGAATTGTCTGCTGGTAAAACATTCATGCCTAAATCTAGTAGAAGACTTAAGATAGTGTGTTGCTGAAGTTACCCTTTTCCGAAGTTTTCTGAACAGAGGTCTCAGGTATGATTCTGTCTGCTTCTGAGTGGCGCTGTTTAGCTTGCCTTGTACACCACGTTTCACATAATCTTCTCTGGCGTTCAACTCCTTAGCCCAGACTCCAAGAAGAAACTGAAGATGACAAACAAATTTAAGCCATACTGCCACACAGTGGCTAAATATGAACAGTGTCCATAAACTAAAGCTGCAACCCCATTCATTTACTTACAAAGAAATAGTACTTGCAATGTTAGTTAATTCTGGATAGATATGTATCTGATTGGGTTGTAATTATTTCCTAGCCAGATGGGCGGGGTATAAACAATAAATTATTATTATTATTATTATTATTATTATTATTATTATTATTATTATATCATACTATAAATGAATCACAACATTTTCCATGTAATAGAATAGTCCTAGAAAATGATGATGCCCCAGCTATGATTGCTTACAGGCCAGAGGTTCTTGCTTGTTAGGCTACTTACCTTCAAGAATTTGGTTATGATATCCATGTCTTTATGGTCATCCCCTTGTCCTAAAGATTCTCCCAAAGCCTGAAAAAGAGATTTTCCATTGAGATGTCTTCCAAAAACAAAAATAGCTGATGCAAGTTTACATAAAGAACATAATATTACAGATAAAATTAGGAAGTATTTCACAGTGTTTTTGAAAGGCTCTCCCTTTAAATTTCGTAAGTCAGGGTTGAGAATGCTAACCAAGTCACATCCCAGTGTTTACTCATATATTCTATGGAATTTTTCAGTTTGTTCCTCTGAACAAGAGATTCCCCAGAGACACAGCTGAGTGCAGATATGACATGTTATCTCAAGAGTGGTACTGCCATCCAAGACACAACAGAGAGGATGCAGAGACTCATCAAATCAAACAATTGTCTTCCATTCCTGCTGATCATCAGGAAAGGTCTGGTTCCTTGGGCCACAGCCAGCGCTACCCAAATGATGAATTTCTGGTAAGAGATGGGCTACAACTCATGAGGATGGGGGAGATGTGTTTGGCAGGAGCCCCACAAGCCTCATCATGTGGACTTTAACTAACTAACCCTGCAGGGAAGGTAACCCAAAGCCCAGAGATAAGAACTGAGCCATGTATGAGAGACAAGAAAGGAAAACACAGGGCAATGAAGACGATGCCTAGCAAATTTCCAGTAAATACAGCACGAAAACTGAGAGGGTGAGGCACCCATAGATTTCAATGTCTATGTACTAACTAGCACACAGCAGTATGGGAAACTAACAGGATGATTTTAACACCCTAATACAGGCAGGTAAGTTGACCCAATAGGTCTAATTGACACTTGATGGGACGAGGCTTGTGAATGGATGTTAGAAGTGATGGCAGTATCTTGTTCTAAAGGAATAGAGTCCAGAAAGTGAAAGGGACACAGACACAAGCACACACACCTGCACAGAAATCCATGAATCTGAGAGTGGAAGCTCTGTTGAAAGCATCTGGGTAAGGATAAAAGGAGAGAAAAACAAAAGTGGCATCATTGTGGCAGCATACTACAAATTACCCAGCCAAGTGGAAAATGTGGGTGATGATTTTCTACAACAGATTACAAAAAGAGAATATGATGGTTGTAATAGAGGACTTCAACTGCCCTGGCATCTGCTAACAATCAAACGTCTAATAAATTTTTGCCTTCCTGATCAACCTGCCAAAGGAACAAGAAAGGAGCTGAGATCTTGGACTTAATAAAGACCTGCTTGATGAAGTGAAAGTGGTGTGAGCCTTGGGGGAACTATATCATCTTGGAACGTGTGATATATATATTGTGGCACAGCCTAAGTCTGCATGCAACAGGTCTTAGGTTCAATCCCTGGGGTCTCCCAGTAGGGCCATCACTGAATCCTGCCTGAAACCCTGGAGAACTGCTACCAGCCAGTGCTGATTCTCACCAATCAGTGGTCTGCGTTGGTCTAAGGCAGATTCCTATGTGATAGCAAGTGAAATACAAACAAAGCCAAGTTGGATTTGTACCTTGGGCTTTAAGGAAAGACAGCTTTAGGAAGCCATAGAATTCCACGACTAGAAATTCTGAATAAGAAAAAAAGAGCACAAGTGGAATGGGAGATTTTCAAATGTGGAAATAGTGAAAAAACAGTCGCAAACCATTCCAGTGAGAAAACAGGAGACATCCAAAGAGGCCAGTGAATGCACAAAGAGCTCTCCAATGAGAAGACTTTAAAAAGACACATCCAGGAGACAAAGGGAGGCATATATGAGGAAGGACAAGTTTGATGGAGGATCCCAAACCTGTAAAGATGGTTTCAGCAAGGCTGAAGCCTGGAAGAAGCAAAAGCTTGCAAGGGATGCTAAAAACAAAAATATAGGGATTCACTGGATATGTTCAGAGCCAGAAGAACAGGAAAGGGGTAGGTCCGCTGCTTGGACAAGTTGAAGAAATTAATGACAGGTGATGGACAGAAGCCGGAACCACTCAATTCCAATTTTGTTTCAGTGGCCCCTAAGTGGAATTGTATTCAAACTGGGGAAAGTAGAACAAATGGTATGAGGTGAGGCAGCCCAGGAACACTGCTATATGTGAGTTCAAGTCCCATGGGCCAGATAAATTATACTGCAAGCTGTTGAAGAAACTTGTAGGTTTTATTTCAGAGACAGTTACTGTAATCTTTGTGAATTACTGGGAAACAGATGAGGTTCTGTAAGACTGGAGTTGGGTAAATATTGCCCCTATCTTCCAAAATGGGGCGGGGTGGAGTTGGATCCGGCCACTCAACTTAACACTGATACCCAACAGATTATTAAGTGTCCCTAAACATTTGAAAACAATGCACTGATTATCATTCATCATGTGTTTAATCTAGAATAAATCATCCACATAAGCCTTACCCTTTTTTGAAAGAATTAATGCTTTGGTAGTTCATGGCAATGCGATGGACATAGTGTATCTTGATTTCAGCAAAGCCTCTGATCAAGTCTCCCGTGATATTCTTATTCACAAAATGATAAATATGGGCTGGTCAATTCTACTGTTCAGTGAGCAACCATAATCAGCAGGTGCTCCTTTAATGGCAAGAAGTCTCAAGAGGACTGCTACAAGGCCCTAGCCTTGGTTCCTGTGCTATTCAAAGATTTTCTATAAATGACTAGGCTGAGGGCATAGTGCAGGCATTCCCAAACTCGGCCCTCCAGCTGTTTTGGGACTACAACTCCCATTATCCCTGACCACTGGTCCTGTTAGCTAGGGATGATGGGAGTTGGTAGTCCCAAAACAGCTGGAGGGCAGAGTTTGGGGGTGCCTGGCATAGTGGGTATCCTTATAAGAACTGCAGATCACATGAAGCTGAGTAGATCTAATATCAAAGAACAGAGAATCAAGATTCAGAATGACCTTGACAGGTTGCAACACTGGGCCAACATGATGAAAGTAGAGATAAATGTTAAGTCCTGTAAACAGGTACAAAAAGGACAGAAGTTTAAGATGGGGAAGACCTGGCTTAGCATTAAAAACATGCAGGTGTCCGAGTTGATTGCAATCTGAACATGAGCAGGGCAGTGTGGTGTGGCTCTTTATAAGAAGTTAATGTAATTTTAAAGTGGCGCTAACAGAAGCATGAGTGTTCGGATCACAAGGAATAGAGTTCCACTCTAGTCTATGCAGCTGAAGAGTAGTGCACCCAGTTATTGGTGCCATGCTAGAATACACTGATAAACTAGAGGGTGGCCAAGATGTTGATGGGTGAGGAAAACACGTCCTATGAGAAACAACTGAAGGAGCAGTTTGTTTAGCGTAGAGAAAAGGAAATTAAGGGGAGATGTGATAGAAGTCTCCAAGTCAGACCTCACCTGGAGTACTGTGTCCAGTTCTGGGCACCACAGTTCAAGAAGGACACTGACAAACTGGAATGTGTCCAGAGGAGGGCAACCAAAATGGTCAAAGGCCTGGAAACGATGCCTTATGAGGAACGACTAAGGGAGCTGGGCATGTTTAGCCTGGAGAAGAGGAGGTTAAGGGGTGATATGATAGCCATGTTCAAATATATAAAAGGATGTCATATAGAGGAGGGAGAAAGGTTGTTTTCTGCTGCTCCGGAGAAGCGGACACGGAGCAATGGATCCAAACTACAAGAAAGAAGATTCCACCTAAACATTAGGAAGAACTTCCTGACAGTAAGAGCTGTTTGACAGTGGAATTTGCTGCCAAGGAGTGTGGTGGAGTCTCCTTCTTTGGAGGTCTTTAAGCAGAGGCTTGACAACCTTATGTCAGGAGTGCTCTGATGGTGTTTCCTGCTTGGCAGGGGGTTGGACTCGATGGCCCTTGTGGTCTCTTCCAACTCTATGATTCTATGATTCTAAGTTCCGGCTTCCTTAGGAAGAGACTGTCTCAGGTAGAGAGCACATTTCAAGCCATTATAGCAGCAAGCATATGGGGGAACCCATAATAAAATTCAAAAGCCTCTCCATGACAGTCTCCTTCACATTTTAGACAAATTATGCCCTCCCCAATAGGCTTCTTAAAAAGAGCAAGTAAGGGAGTCATTAAAAAGGCAATGGAGGGGGTGCAGGTTTCTGCCAGCCTCCATGCAATTTGACCACTATGGACAACTGTTGCAGAAATTTCTGCAGTCCAATTGTCTCTTGTCTAAATAAATTAGTAGGAAATTATAAAACTTGTAAAGTTATACAAATGAGAATTATGCACATTTTCTCAATCTGCATTCTTTTTGCAAGTAGCAGAATCCATCTTCTCTTGGTGCAGAATTTATTTACCAGCATGGTGCCTTGGTCACAATTTGAAAACAGTAAAAAACAATAGAATACCTCCAATTCTTCAATGGTTGTGTTCTCTTCATGGACTTTGAGATCATTCTGTGTCTCATCCTCTCCCTGTTCCTGCCCACCCACAATTTCATTCAGATACTGCTGGTCTATTTTATCCAAAGCAGCCTTCAGGTCATTCCTTAATCCCTATGGAAATAAAAACAAGAGTTGAGAGTATGCAGAGTTATCCCAGGAACTGTCATAATTGAAACCCTGAAAAAATAGGTTTAAGTATCTTACAATTTTTCTATACAGAATTTGAGTATCATGGCATGATACTACATAACCCTGTTAGTTGTTTTAAACATTAATAAATAATATCATAAATAACAATACTGTGGGAGTATTGCTTTTATTTGTTACTATGTGTATTTTTGTGTTTTAATGTTGTAAACCGCCTTGGGATCCTTGGATGAAAGGCAGAATAGAAATTTAATAAATAATAATAATTGTATAATCATGATTTAGCATTAAGAGAGAGTTCATATCATTGGAGAATCCTACACAGACATCTCTAAGGGCATAGTGGGCCTAATAGTAAAAGAAGTGTCATTCACACGAGCAGCCACAATTTGAGTGGTGGCAGTTCTCTTTCTCTGAAGCCGATAAATGCATGAACTGATCCCAAGTCTCACTACAGCAATATACATAAGTTTTGACTTCTAAATTTGTCCTCTAAACAACAAAAAGCTTACAATTGAGGTTATCTGTAAATCCAAACCATTACTTACAACACTAAAGTGTAGTAATAAGTTGATAGAGAGCACTTGACAGAAGTCAAGATGACAGAAGGCACTTTCTGTGTCCCTCTATGTGGGATTATAACATTATATATTTATGAAGTATATACACAGGTAGGGGCACAAGAAGCAGGATATCCATGGCTATAATGTTACAGGTGCACCAATTTTGCACAGGGACAGTCCTTTAAATGATCTCTCTTATGCTTATGCACAGATTTACCTTGTTGACTTCTGGCGCTAGAATTTCTATCTTTCGCAGCCTCTGAAAGGCATCATAATCTGTTTCTCCAAACAGTCTGATAGGTTCACCCCTTTCTCTCAATCTCCTCATGACCTGGAAAAAGTCAAGTGTTTCTTTTAAACAAATGAAGAAAATAGAACAAACAACCCATTCACATCCCCACAGGGTATTACAACTCAAGCACTGTGCTTCCTTATTTTCACGAAATTTATCGTTCCTTGCTAAAGAGCACAAAATGGGCAGCAACATACCTAATGATGACTAGTGGCAGCTGTTTAAGGGTAAAGGGACCCGTGACCATTAGGTCCAGTCATGGCCGACTCTGGGGTTGTGGCGCACATCTCGCTTTAGTTAAATATAATTACAAAAATTGCACCTCTGATCTATGGAGCATACATGAGTAGAATTCTGTGATGAATAACGGGAGTTCCTAAGCCACATTAAGTTGGGGACATTTAGGCTACATTTTGGGGCAATACATACAGATATATGTCTGAAATGTGGATGGAAATTAATACATTATCTCCAATGAACTAGGTCGGGGGTTACCCATGTGGTGCCCTCCGTATACTGTTGGGCTACGTCTGCCCCAACCAGCATAACCAGCAGTCAGGAATCATGCTAGTTGTAGCCCAGGAACGCTTGAAGGGTTGGGACAGATGTAACACAGCTTCCATCCTCTTTCTAGATTGAGCTTTCCAATTTTACAACAACTGAGGAATATGTCTATAGCTTGGAATATTTATTTAAATCAGGATTTGAAAACAGTTTAATATTGTCTTAAAATCCTAATTCAACAGGAAGCCTGTTGAGACTTAATCATGATTAACAAATGTCTGACATACTCAGCAGACCCACTGAAATCAATGTGATAAGAACATTTATTTCAATGGGTCTGCTCTAAGCATCTCTAACATTAGGCATCAAACAGTGATATCCTTGTAAATGCAGTTATGGTAATAGGAAAATCACTCTCAAAAGGGGAGGGAGGGAGGGAGGGAGGGAGGGAGGGAGAACTCCTGATCTCTTACCTACCTGAAGTTAAGAGTAAGCCATCATTATGTCTGCACTGGCTACAGGTAAATCAGTAAAGTACAAGTTACTGATGCGAAATTTTTGCTGCCTGAAAAGCTAGTCTGATGAATATCCTCATATATTTAGCTAGCTGATTCCCTGGTCTCTTGTACAACTTCATGGGCATATAGTTAATTCATGATAACTATAATTTCACACAGTAAAATATAAATACTCTGCAGATTTGTTAATCTGGTAAAGGCAAAACAATTATCTGCATATTGCCAGCTCCATATATTTGTCTTTACCTCTTGTCTAGAAAGAGTCATAGGCAACTTCTCCTCTGCCAACTCTAGTTCTAATACTGGATTTGATGCAGTTACTGTCTTCTCCTCCTCTTCCTCTTCCTGCTGAACCTAGGTAGAGACAAGGAACATAACATAACCAGTTTTAAATATGGGCACAGAAAAAGTCTAAACTTCTAGGAACACTGATTGCTTCTAAGAGCAGCTATTAGCACTACACAGCACAGCCGACATGCAAAAACCTGACCGTAACCTCTAAGACGTGCCAGTAATATAAAATAATTTAGAATTCGCTTTGTCCTGTCTACAGAAGTTTCATATAGATAAACTATAGGCTGCAAGCATTCCTCAGTTCTCCACTCCACAAAGTATGGAAATAATTATAATTTCAGACAAAACAAAGCTAGCGTTTTTGTGAAGAGAAACCTGCTACATATAGTCAATATGGTATTCAATACATTGAAACTATCATGGTGATATGCATAACTCATCAGCCACTCAGAAAATGGGCAAAAGGAGAACTATGTTTACTACATATAGCAACTAGACAACTATATACAGTAACTGAAAACTATGGTTTCCAATTGTGATTTGGAGGCACACTATGGCTTGCAAAAACCAGTCTGCCCAATCCAGCTAGACTGGAAAACAATGGGCAAACCAGGAAAACAGAGCACATACAAGGAGGAAGAAGCCAAACCACAGTCTGCCATTACATGTGAACTGAGGCTTGAGAAAATATCAGCTATCACCTGAAATGTATGTTGTCAGGACCCACCCTATTTATTGTGGTTGTATTTTTTGTATTTTTTAAACTGCTTTTTACATTGTAACCTGGCCTATGGGGACGCGGGTGGCACTGTGGGTTAAACCACAGAGCCTAGGACTTGCCGATCAGAAGGTCGGCGGTTCGAATCCCCGTGACGGGGTGAGCTCCTGTTGCTCAGTCCCTGCTCCTGCCAACCTAGCAGTTCGAAAGCATGTCAAAGTGCAAGTAGATAAATAGGTACTGCTCCGGCGGGAAGGTAAATGGCATTTCCGTGCATTGCTCTGGTTTGCCAGAAGCGGCTTAGTCATGCTGGCCACATGACCTGGAAGCTGTACGCCAGCTCCCTCGCCCGATAAAGTGAGATGAGAGCCGCAATCCCTGAGTCGGCCACGACTGGACCTAATGGTCAGGGGTCCCTTTACCTTTTTAACCTGGCCTATGACATGAGGGTGAATGGTGGGTAATAACAATAACAATATTTTTCTGTGCAAACTATTATACCCTGGTTGAAATGTCTCATACTTTCAAGAAGTGTGATATCAGCCGTTCTCTACCATAGACACAGGTAACAATTTCACCTATCAATGCAGAATGCCATTCAAGCATATCTCTATTCCTTGGGGAAAGCTCCACAGTGCACATCTGGGACCATTTAAGTAGTAAGCAAAAATTACAGTGATTTTTACAGAATAGCAGCCCTAAGTTCATTGTATAAAACAGTATTTTAAAATGCATTATCATACACCCAAATAGCTGTGAAAAAGAAGTTGGTTATGATAATAAAGGAGTTAAGACCCAGACAGGGGAAAAAAAGATTTAAGCCATTTTACCAGTGGGATTGTTAAAAGCAATGTCTGCACCAAATAACATAAAATAAAAGTACTTTCAGGACTTTAGCAAATGCACCTTCATTTGCAAAATGTCAGAGTTTTTTTGCTTTGTTTTAAACACACTAACAACATTTCAATGAAATGCAGAGATCTGGGAGGCTCTTGGTGAGCTAAAATGTCTCATAGTTTTGTTTATTTGAAAAGCAACTGGCTCCATCCACACTCCTAATATTTTAACCAAGTTTCTCTAAGTGGGACATAAGCAACCAGGTCAAACGAGAAATTACACAGCTACTTGATATTATTGCCATGTAAGTTAGTAAAACTGTAGTGACAGCCAGAAAATAACAGAAACGCTTTCCTTCATAGTTATACACAAGCCAGTGCTCTTTTCTGGGAATACTCAAGGAAATGCAGTACTGGCACCTTTTTTCCCCAAATGTTAAAAGTGTGGCAATTACTGTAACAACTTCATGCTGAGTACCAGCACCTTTTTCTATTATAAAAGAAAAGCACCCTCTCTGGCAGGCTCCCTCCACACATTCTGCCTCCTTCCTCACTCCAAAGTTATTCCGCCACGGCACTCCATTTCACTCCTGCAGCTATAGGCCTATGCACAATACGGTATCTCATTAAGTCCTGGCCCCACCAGCTTTCATCGTAAGTCCAGTGATGATGGATGATATAAGTCATAACACTCCTCCTTCTAACAGAAGTTATAAACCCTATCTTTTCATAAATGTTGCAAAGGAAATAAAAATAACAACATAAAATGCCACAGAATCATAGAGTTGGAAGGGATCCTAACAGTCACTTAGTGCAATGTAAGAATATTTTGCCCAACAAGGGGCTTGAACCCACGACTATGAGATTAAGAGTCTCATGCTCTACTGGACTGAGCTATCCCAGCAATCCTACTTCATAAAAGCGAAGTTCCACAGCATATTTGAAATATGTTAAATTGAATACTGGTAATAATTCTGTCTAAAAGAAACTTGATTTTAATAGACTTAATGACTTGTGAAATATATATATAGGCCTGACACTACAGGATACTGTAGGATACTATGGGATATATCAGATTATGACCAACCATAATGAGACCGGATAAAATGGGCCTGCTTTAGGCAGCAGATTTTGGGGTCCCAAAAGAAAGGCAGCAAATTGGCAATTATTTAGTTCTATTACTTCCCATTACTAAATTTCCACGCTACAATCCTCACATCCAAACTGCTTTGATACAATCAAAGTGAGGTGGAAAGAAGAGCAAAGGCCTTCCAGGTGACTTATTTGTCATGATGTGTCTTACGTATGAGCTTAGTTATTATTTGACCCCAACTAAACAACAAGAAATGCAAGCTGCATTTCATAGCCTTTCAAGAAGTGGGCACTCTTGGCTAACTGGTTGAGGCTACTCAGAAGTTAAAATCTATTAAATTCAATGGGATTTATTCCTAGGTAAACAGGATTAGGATTACAGCCTAAGAAAGGAAGGTATACATCTTTTACGCATTCAGGCCACCACCCCCACTCTCACCCCACAATGGAGCCAGCATCTAGAAATTAGCAGCCTCTACTTTGCTTTACAAAAGGGTTGGTTGTATCAGATCCAGGGTACATGCCTGCTGGAGCACAACTTAAAAAGAAAAGCTTTATTCTCAAGCAGCCTCATGCCCTCCACAGAAGAAGCCAAACTATAAACACAAATTCAAATAGCTGCATACTCATGCATGCCTCTTCCTGCATTGCAAACTTTTCTTGGAAACTCATACCTCTCCTGGTGGCTTCTCGTTTACAGGCTAAAGTGCAACAGTGATAGAGTGAACAAAGAATTATTCATTTTTTAATAAATTAAATAATAAAAAGGATAGAGGAAACATAAACACAGCATTCACCATTCATTTATTTTTAACACACCTATTTGTAATTTTTCCTAGCCATCATATTGTAACTAACTGTTTAAAGTAACTCTAATCTCTCTCACACACAAACGTTTTGATACTTTCATTATCCAGATTCTAGAACTGTAGAAATTTTTTCTACATTCCAAAAATCTCTTAGTTGCATGCCCTTTATAAGTTATTTTATTTAATGTATTAAGATCTGACACCATATATTTCTTTTCCCTGCCTCTTTGAGTAGGGGTTCTTGATTCTTCCCATTTTTAGTCACTAATAACCATGTTGCAATCCGTGTATTTCCTACTAATGTATTAATACATTTTAAACTATGATTAAGCAGACACTGCACAGCTAGCCAGAATCACTACCACTACTGCTTTCACATTACCTTGCAACCACATCTTTCAAAATATGCCTCTTCTTCCTTCTTGGCCAACTCACTACGCTTAAAGTATTTTTTATTTCCCTGAAAGAAAGGAAAGTAGTTACTACATTGTGATGTTTCATAAACAACTAACATTTCTTCTTTCAGTAATGCGAAGCACAATGGATGGGCTGTCAGATTCATAACAGCTCAATGATAGTTAACAGGAACCAGTACCAACTAGCACACTAAAGGGGGAAAGGTGCTCTCATCTAATATACAATGCCGTGAATATAAAAAGGCCACCAGCACATTCTTCCCATATGGTCCCAGGGCATATCCAGAGACAACTGCTGGCTTCCGGGCACTGAAAAGCCCTGGCAGCCCCAAAGCCAGGCTGGTGCGGGCAGAGCTTTGCTCCTGGGCAGCCCCGATGGCCGCTGCTGGGAGGCGGGAAGGAAGGAGCAGGCTGCCCGACGTGAGCCAGGAGGGAGGGAAACGTCTTCCATGCCTGAATAACAGTCTCTGGCTGTGGCAGATTGTGGGAGCGGCGGGCGACGAGCTCTCTTTCGGGGAAGCTCATCCCGCTCGCCGGCCTCTCATGTCTGGCCTTTGTGTGTCCCCCCCCCGGGGGCGCCAGAAACACCGGCGAGACCGAGCAAGAGGCGCCCCCGCAGAGCCCGACTCGCCAGGCAAAGGCAGCGCTCCCTGGCAAAGGCCGCCGCCAGGCCGAGGCTCCGCGCTCAGGGAGGGGGCCCCGCGCCGCCCTCTGGGGCCCCGGAGACACGGCGCGGAGGGGCCGCCCGGCAGGAGGAGCCCCGGCCCCGCGGCGCCTCTCTCCCGCTTACCCCGAGCAGCTCCTTCTCCTCCAGCAGCTTCCGCTTCCGCTCGATCTCGGCCTTGACGACGTCCATGATGGCGCCTTCGCCTCAAGCAGCCCCTCGCCGCCGCCGGAAGCCCCGCAGCCAAAGCAGCCCGGCCGCGCAGCCGCACTACTGACGCCCGCCTCAGACGCCGCTTCCGGGCGAGGAGAGGGCGGCAGCAGCGAGCGGAGGATGCCGGGATGGCCGGAAGAGAAGCGGGCGCCGTGTTGGGGGGGGGCTAGGATGCCACGCAAGGGGCCAAAATGGTGGGAACCTTTTGGGGAAAGTGTATTTCCGAGGTTTGAGGCCTCATAACATCACTTTTGGGGGGAGTAATACCATAAAATTATATATCAATGGAAGGATATTTTAATGAAGAATGTAATGCAGTAACTTTTATGAAATGTGAAACACATAGAAGAAATTAGATATACAAAAGTTCTCACCATGTGTCACTTAATAGTTGGGTAACCTTTAGCTTTAATTACGGCTTTACAACACCTTCCCATGGAGTGAACCAAGTTTTTCAGTTCAGCTGTAATCATGTGAAACTAAGATTGAATTGATCGCCGAAGAATTGATGCTTTTGAATTCTGGTGCTGGAGGAGACTCTTGAGAGTCCCATGGACTTCAAGAAGAACAAACCTCTCCATTCTGAAGGAAATCAGCCCTGAGTGCTCACTGAAAGGACAGATCCTGAAGATGAGGCTCCAAGACTTTGGCCACCTCATGAGAAGAGAAGACTCCCTGGAAAAGACCCTGATGTTGGGAAAGATGGAGGGCGCAAGGAGAAGGGGACGACAGAAGACAAGATGGTGGGACAGTGTTCTTGAAGCTACTAATATGAGTCTGACCAAACTGCGGGAGGCAGTGGAAGACAGGAGTGCCTGGCGTGCTCTGGTCCAGGGGGTCACGAAGACTCGGACACGACTAAACGACTAAACAACAACAAGATTGAATTATTGCCTCTATTAATTGGGTTTTATTGCTGGGTTGCTTCTAACTAACAAATTTCTTTGGTCGGCTCCATAGATTTTCAATTGGGTTAAAGTCTGGGCTATGTATTTTTGGGCATTTGTTGTTGTTGTTGTTTAGCTGTGTCCGACGCTTCATCGGCATTTTGGGCATTTATGGCATTTACATTCCCATTAATGACACAAATTCTGGCCACACCTTTGGCTGTCATACAACCCCAGATCATAACACTAATTGGGTGTTTCACAGTAGGTGTAATGCAAGTAGGATGTACCGTATTTTTTGCTCGATAACACGCACCTGACCATAACACGCGCATAGTTTCTAGAGGAGGAAAACAAGAAAAAAAATCTGAATGAAACAGTGGATGTATCATTTTTGTGCTTCATGCTGTGGCCACAGACATGTGATTTGACGGTGAGTTTGGGGTAGCCCAATGCAAAAATCCTGAGAATCCCTGTGGATCTGTGCTTTGTAACCACGTTTTTGCACCATTGTGGCCCCAGGTAACAGTGGGTGCGTGATTTTTTTGGTGCAGGCTGTAGCCATGGACATGCTATGTGATCTGATGGTGAATTTGGGGTGACCCAATGCAAAGATCCTGAGGATCCATGTGGATCCGTGCTTTGTAACCACGTTTTAAGTGGGGAGGAAAAGAAAAACACAGAAGGGACAAGGAGCACGAGAGGGGTGTGCGGAGAAGCAGCTGGCTAACAATGCAGGAGAGGGATTTAACGGGAGGGAGGAAAGGAAGGCAACAGTTTCCACCCACCCAAGCCAGCCCTCCCTCTCTCTCTCTCTCTCTCTCTCTCCCTCTCCCACCTGCATTTTCCGGCTGCCTGCGATGCTGGACGCAGCAGCAGCAGCAGCGGAGCACAGAGAGGAGGAGGTGGTGGCTGTCGGCTGCGCTCCTAGCCGACGGAACCTGAGCCGGGTAAGCTGGAGTTTGAGCAAACACAACAACCGAAAACAGTGGGCAGTAAGACCCTGAGGCAGAATGCAGGAAAGCAGCAACCTCCTCTCTTTAGCCTTCCCTCCTCTGCGATCTGATTTTTGCCCCTGTACTCGGGCCAGTCGGCCCCAGGGACCACACGTTCGCTCAATAACATGCACAGACATTTCCCCTTACTTTTTAGGAGAAAAAATGTGAGTGTTATAGAGAGAAAAATACGGTAAATCTCTGATTCCTCTCACTTATTTCATGCCATCACTACCAAACAAGGAGATTTGGTTCTCATCACTGCAAATAACACTGTCACATTGTTCCACTGTCCAGTTAACATGGGTTTTAGCCCAGTTTAATCTTTTCAACCTTTGTTTGAAAGATAGCAATGGCCTTTTCCTTGGAATTCAAGCATTTAGACCATATTCCTGCAGTCTGCGCCGAACAGTCCTTGCATTCAACTTCACATTACATTGCGCCATGCCATCTTGCATACTCGGATGATTTTCTTCTGTCACGTAGGCACATCTCTCAATACTTCTATTGTCACTTGCTGATGTGCACCTTTTCCTGCCTTTACCAGTCTGATTTTGTAGTGACTGAAGTCTCTTTATGTTGTTTAGTTGTGTCTGACTCTTTGTGACCCCATGGACCAGAGCATGACAGGCACACTGGTCTTCCGTTGGTCAAACTCATGTTAGTTGCTTTGAGAACACTGTCCCACCACGTCGTCCTCTGTCGTCCCCTTCTCCTTGTGCCTTCAATCTTTCCCAACATCAGGGTCTTTTCCAGGGAGTCTTCTCTTCTTAGGAGGTAGCCAAAGTATTGGAGCCTCAGCTTCAGGATCTGTCCTTCCAGTGAGCACTCAGGGCTGATTTCCTTAAGAATGGATAGGTTTGATCTTCTTGCAGTCCATGGGACTCTCAAGAGTCTCCTCCAGCACCATAATTCAAAAGCATCAATTCTTCGGCGAGCAGCCTTCTTTATGGTCCAGCTCTCACTTCCATACATCACTGCTGGGAAGACCATGGCTTTAACTATACGGACCTTTGTTGGCAAGGTGATGTCTCTGCTTTTTAAGATGCTGTCTAGGTTTGTCATCGCTTTTCTCCCAAGAAGCAGGTGTCTTTTAATTTCGTGACTGCTGTCACCATCTACAATTATCATTGAGCCCATGGAGTTTGTGGGGTGCTAAATTCATGAGTTCAATAAATGTTAGAATTTAATTAGAGCGTGTATGTTAAAACTGTGCTTCAGACCCTCAAGTGTTAGAATGTACTGAAGAGCCATTTGTATTAAGATGGATGTTACAAGTATATTGTATTAAGATGGACTTTGCTACTGTGGCTATGGGAGAAGGCAGAACCTCCTGGGGGGGGTGTGCTGGGAACCTCTCCATTGTAGGCTCTGGTTGTATATATGCGTTAATAAACCATATATCATAAAGACACTACAATCTCTGCTGTGCCTCATTTTCCAAAAGGAAACATGGATCCCCTAGGTAGTGTGCCTGGAACTCCTTGGAATCTTGCACTGCTCAGAGATTGGGAGCGGCTTGCAACAATATTCAGTTTTCCTCCATGGAGTTCAAACTCACACGTATGCATTGAGCCACTGGAAGCTGCTGCTGTCAGTGGCCTGCTTTGCATATAATGGTAAACCAAACTGGTCAACCAGGACTGTGCAAGCATGCTGGCTCAGAGAGGAGCTCAAGCACACTTTGCTCCTCTCCAAGCTTTCCAACTCAGTACAGGATGGCAGATAAGCCAAAGTTTGGCTTAGCCAGTCCTCCAAACTCAGGATCATGGTGAAGGGCTTCCATAGCCATGACCAATCCAAATATTGGGTTAGCTGCCACACTATGCTGAACTAAAAACCCCAGGGAGGAGCACAGCAGGCATGAGTTATTCATTGGGAGACAGTCCTGGTTGCTTTGATTTATTGCTTACCCTTCACTCTTAAGGTCCCAAGGTGGGTCACAACAATTTAAAATGCAACATTAAATTGAGGGTATTACCCTGCCACCATAAGAGGATTGTCTCCTTCAATCAGAGGTGCCAACTTGTGAGGGAAATGGGGGGCATTGCCGCATGCATGATATTCAGATGTTGTATCAGGATGTTGGGAGGAGCCAAACATGGAGGCAATGCAGCTTCAGAGGTGGGTGACTCCTCCTCTTGCCACTGCCAGCAGCCGGTGGCTGCTTCCCCACTCCTTTCCCTCCACAGCAGCCGGAGAAGAAAGAGCCAGCCACTGAAGCCCTGCCATGCTCAGCTCCCTGATATGAGGGGGGGAGCAAAAGAGTTGGGGCCCCAGGAATTAGCACCCTTACCTCCATGTTGTTTGACGTACAGGCATCTCCATATCTTCTCCATAAGGTTATCACCTCATCTCCATGGCTCTAGTTCAGAGTTTTCCAAACTCTGTCATAACACATTAGTGTGTTGGCTACAGTGTGTTGTGCAAACTCTCCCCACACTCGTCCCAGGGCTGGAAAGGAGTTAGTTTAACCTCCGGTTTGCTAGTAAAATTGAATTACTGTGGCGCAAAATGATGCAAAACTGAATTACTGTGTCATTAAATGATGCATGCCTAAAAGGTGTGTCACCAACATGAAAAGTTTGGAAAGCTCTGCTCTAGTTGGTCAACCCGGGTGCAGGGTACATTTTGATAGATGCTGGAGGTGTAGCCGTTGCTCCATTTTGAGCTGCTCAGTGTTTTTCCTCTCATTTTCTGGGTGAGGGCAGCACATGGTAGAAGTTGTGCCAGAATAGTGATGGTGCATTTCCCCCCTTGTCGTATAGGATTCCTCTGTCCAATGGCCTGATATGGGCGCAATATCACTGGTTTTTGAAAGTCCTCCTGACACCAGTTACAACAAGCAACCAAGACTTAAAGATCTTCACACATTGTCAATGACAGTCTGCTCTCATCTTAGAATGTTTTTTTCACAAAAAAATTGGCAGGAATGTGTTTGTTTGTTTTTTGGAGAGTATATAAGACATGTTCTCACAAGTGTGGAAATAAAAGGGAAATATTTATTTGGTGGGGAAATTAATCTAGCAAGTTTTTTGAAGAATGTAAACCCTTTTTTACAACACAAAAGCCAAAGCTCATGCAAAACAACAACAGAGAATTTGAGATGTAGAAATTTGGAAAACTGTCAAAGATTGAAATCCCCTTTTGCA